CTTACAGTTGCTGCACAGATGCCAACCTAATTCACAGAAAGAACATTACTCAAATTAGATAGAGATATAAAACACAATGTAATAGACCAGTTGTATATCATGCCTGCAACACTGTAACAGAAAGTAAAACCAACCAAGCAGTGACATAAATACAGGCAAACAAGAGGAAATTCATGGAAGCAAATTCTGAGATATCCCTAAGTGCATATGCACCATTGCACCTTGAACAAGCAGACTTGCATCATCAAGAATTCTAGAACTTATACACCGAGTCTATTACTTTCTCGAAACATAAAATGGAAAAATGTAGGGCAACTGTTTGACAAATACAAGCTGCAACAATGGAATAATCTTGAACATACATATTTTATAAACCCAATTTTCACTCACTATAGAATGTTCATCATGTTGGGGTGAACTCAAAGTATATACACACAGGCACATGGCATATAAGTCACTAGTGAATTGTGCCTCAAAACCTGGCTTACCTTACCCAATGTCTCCTGGAATTAATAAAAACAATTGTGGCTATTGTCTTGGCTATTGCTCATTCAAGAAAAAAGAAATAATTTACTAAAGAAAAATTGCAAAGCAATTCCCCCTCAAGTTTCCCTTCTACTATTTTTCTTTCATTTCTTCACACAAAACATTACAACTCATTGCTTCTTCTCATACTAATGAGAATTTAAATGTTAAGTTTTCTCAAGGAAAAGGGCATTGCTTAAAGTTACAAAAGAGAAGACATGAAAATTTCTAAGAAAAAGCGAGACCTTAATCCAAAAGATTTGCCCAGTGCTTGCAAAACAGTATCCTCTAGACCCATAATCAATTGAGACAAGTTACTGAAATTGTAAGTTCTTATTCCTTTCTATGCATGCCCATCATAAACAAAAGACATGTATTTCCTGTTGGCTCCAGTAAAGTGCATTTAGGGCAGATCTATATTGCCTTTGAAAAGATAGCTATAAGTTATTCTCAGTCAACTTTACATAAGAAAACAATTGACCCAAAGTCCAATTCAGCACCCATTACATTCCAAGAGAAATTTGAGCAGTACTTAGCAGTGTGACATTCCCAACTTTGAAGATGCCAAATATATCATTATTGGCCCCTACTGCACATTGAGCATGCAAGTGCACATCTACCACTCATACATGAAACTCAATCATGTTGCAGATGCCACAACTGGGGCTATAATTTCCCGCCCATTTATAAAGTTAAAGTACATCAGTTGCATAGTTTTGTGCTTACGTCTACACAAAGCTATCAGCATGGCTGGAAACCAAAATTCTCCCATGCTCTTGACAAGTTGTATTACAAATATACTGAGAGAATACTTGACAGCTCAGCCTTTGAGACCTTGTTGAATTTTTCATAAGCCAGGGGCATCTAACGGACAAAAGATGATCACATTCCAGGATAATAATTACAACATGTACTTTCACTAGAAATCCAAGCATTGCCAATAGCAATTGCCTTGACATGGAATAATAGATGGCCCCTAATTACAGCAGAAAGATAGTACGCTTCAAATGTTGTTTTGACAACCATTAAACCAATTTGAGGAGAATGCAAAACTTAAACGGTGAGCTGGGCAAACTGGAGATTGAACTTCCTGTGCCTTCACAAAAGCCCACTCCAGCAAGCTTCACTGTCATGTAAATCAAACCTTTTGCAAAGAAAAGAAGTAAAAAATTCAATAATGATGCAATTTAAATAAGAAAAGAGAAACTGAGGCACAGTTCAAAGATGTAGGCACTCAAGTTCCCAAATCTGTATCAGCCAACTAGCAAACATCAATCTTTTTTCCCCTAATTGCAAAAACTAATCATTAAAGCACATGGTACTCCCACAATACAAGATAAAATATCACTACCATAACAAGCAACATATCCCACAAGGCCTCCAAATAAAACTCAGATATTAAAAGTTAAAGGGTGCAGACAGAAATACAGCAACTTACCACAATTCCATTTACCCTTAGCTCGAAAGAATGCCTCATCTCTACCAACACAAGCAGTGTGGTAAGCCTTAGGGCAACCCCTACGGAGGGACAAATACAGAAAGCAAAATATTAGGCAATGAATCCATAGATAACACTGGCATGAAACAGCCTTTATAGGCTCACCTGCGGTCACAAAGCACGAGGTCACCACCGTCAAAGCAAATGAAACAGACATCCTCCTCCATCTTCTTCCTTGATGGAGCTCTTGCCAGAACCTTAGAATTTGAATTCTTTCCGCGCTTCCGCTTGCCACCACCGGCTTTACTAGCATCCTCTAAGTCCTCTGTATCCTCCGTCTCCTCTGCTGCCTCCATTTCTACTTCTTCAGTCATGTCGAGTATCTCAGTGTCCTCAGCTGCTTCCATTCCCTCTGCTCCATCTCCCATATCTGTCTCGGTCCCTTCTGCTTTCTCAACATCCTCTACTACATTTCTTGTCTCTGTACCTTCTGCCTTCTCTGAATCCTCCCCCGTCATTGTATCCACTTCAGCCATACCTGTTTCCCTCACTGCATTAGTATCCTCTAAATTTTCAGTTTGCTCAGACACATTAGCCGCCAATTGTTCTTCCAAACTTTGGCTTTTCTCAACCATGTCAACTACCCCTGTATCTTCCAGAATTTCTTTTTGGTCTGCGAAATTAACCTCCTCTTTATCCTCCACCAATTCCCTTTTCTCAACCAGGTCAGTAACCCTCGTTTTTTCCCCAATCCCAGATCGTTCTGCAACATCAAACATCAGTTTTTCCTCCAGCGATTCACTTTTCCAACCATGTTAACCACCACTGTTTCTCCCAGAATCTCAGTTTGCTCCACCTCGTTATCCACCCGTTTCTCCTTCAGCATTTCCCTTTCCACAGCCACGCCAGCCACCTCACTTTCCTCCATAATTCCTGTTCTCTCGGTCATGTCAGCCAGGCCGCTTCCTCCATAACCCCAATTTGCTCCGCCACAACACCCACCTCTGCTGCCTCAGCAATTCCCCTTTCCTCCACCACGTCAGCCACGCATGTTTCCTCCATAACCACAATTTGCTCTGTCATACCATCCACCTCTGCTGCCTCAGCAATCCCTCTTTCCTCCGCCACGCAGCCACCTCTTTATCCTCTGGGATGTTAATTTGGTCTTGCACATCATCCACCACCTTTTGCTCATTTCCCGCTTCGTCAGCCAATTCAGCAACTTGTCGCTCGGCCACAGTCACCTCAATCCCTTCCGCTATTCCTCTTCCGTCTGACAAGTCAGCCTTCTCCATTTCCTCCATCACATCATCCACCGCCGCATCTTCCGCCACGTCAGCTTTCTCCTTCTGTGCCACGCGGCCCACCTCTCTGTCAACTACACCCTCATCTTCCTTATTACCGTCAATTGGAGATGAATCTTTATTGCATCACCAGCATCCAACATCTCGTCCTTCTCCTCTCCAGCGATCAAATCCCCACCGCCAACTGCATCACGAACCGCCGCCTCGGGTTCCCGCGCTAGAACCACCTCCACATCAACAGCTCCCTTGTCCTTACGTTCTTCCTCCTTTTCAGTAACAGGAGACACCGCTAACGGTGCAGGTAGTCGCGACTCGACCAACTCGGCAACGGACTCGAGCTCGCATTGTGACCCAGCGCTTTGACGCTGTAACTCGGAGGCCGTAGTTGTAGTCGCCGGGTTATCTTCCAATCGAAGAGAAGACTCAACGTTGGGGACGTGGAGAGGCTCTTCTTCCTCGGTGTCCATAGAAGAAAAAGATTAGGAAAATCAAAAATCAAGGGAAACCCTAGAGAATTGAGAGCCCTAGGGTTTTGAGTACGGGGTAAAATATTTGGGGCGTCGTTTATTGTGTGTGTATATATATATATATATATATATATATATTGATATTTTTATTTTGCGAAATGAAAGAATCGGGGTAGAGAGATAGAGAGAAGGAGAGAGAGAGAAAGAGGGAAGAGAGATGTCCCGCGTCGCTCGCAGGAGGAAAACAATAGCTAGCCTCCTTGAGAGCGTGTCGTATTTTTTATGTTGGTGAGTGAGCGGAATGACGATTATGTCCTAAAGTGCAATGGCGTAATGACGAATATAACCCCCAGGGCCCTTGGCTTTATTGGACTCCTCAATCGTCGAAAGCCGATTCTCCTGCCAGAGGTTATCCAGTGATCACGGGTCCTTTGAAAAATAAATCTTGACTGGATTTTGGGCCTTCCGATGGCAGCGATTGCTGGGTGGGCTTTAAAAACTGCATCCCCTTTTTTGGGGTGTCATCCAAACTCTTTAATATATGTTCCTTCTAAACCCAGCATTGTTGCTTCTCATTGATTGTTTGTTGATTCTCCTCGTATCAGGCTACTGACATTCAGAGGAACAAGACCATCAACATCAGGTTATTGAAATTTGAAGATCTGGCATTATTCTCTCGAATGGACTTGGGAGAGATTGCCCATGGAACTCGCTGCCAATAGAGGGACAACTTTTATAGCGGTTTTAAGTTGAGAGAGCTTTGCCCCCAAAATATTCCTGAGGCAACGCCATGAACAAGATCGCAAAATGGAATATCCTCTGTAGTTTGAAAAAATTGAACATCTGGAATTCAGGCACATATCAAATGAAATTTCAATACCATAGCAAGTAATATCCATTCAGTGATCACAGTCACAAAGACACTCATGTCCTACCATGTCAACCATAGCAAGCATTAACAGCTATTCAACTCGCCAATCTTGGGGAAGCAGATGCTGTTCCCTTGAAGGAATTGCAGTGGAAAGGAGGTGGTGGAATAACGTATACCACCACCTGCAAAGAGCCCCGTTCAAATTCTGGCAATCTATGAACCCTGAGGTCAATGACTACACACGTCCTGCAAATTTTGTATGCAGGATAGGCAAAAGGCCTATGAAAGATTAGGAACTCTTCATAAAGACCTGGAGAACCATGTTGGGGAAGCATTTCTGCTTTCAAAACTTGACACAATTAGCAGAGGATGCAATCCATCGAGGGAAAATCCGATTGAGTAATCTACAAGCTGGGTTTGTGGTAATAAATCTTTTATTCCAAACAATGCACCATAATTATAATGTTCTAAGAAAAATAATAAGTGCTTCACATCGACTCCGGCAATTACTACACTAAAATCCAAAATTAAGTCTATCTAGTTCCAAACCTTCAATCACAAGTAAAGCATAATACTAATTGCCACTGACTTAAGCCGCATCATCAGTACCTCCGAGGATAACGGTCCATATACCTCCCAGAAGGACACTCATATGCCATGTGTCCTCTTCCACCACAGTTGTGACAGATCATCAAAGGGCCCATGCACTCCCGACTCATATGACCAAGCTGATGGCAGTTTCGACACACAATATCTCGATGGTCTCGGTAACCACCACTGCGACCACCACCACCTCGATCTCCAATAATGTTGGCTTTCGGGCATTGCCTTGCCACATGTCCAGCTACATTGCACAAGTTGCAGATGGGATCATTTGTACAATCACGTGCCAAGTGACCTGGCCTCCTACAGTTGTTGCACGCCTTGTCATTTGTACAATCAGCTGCAATATGACCAGGCTTATAGCAATTATTGCATAACCTCACATCCCCAGGTGGCATTGGGGGTGCTGTGCAGTCTCTGGCCCGATGTCCAGCCTTCCCACAGGTGTGGCAGATTCCCTCGTTTGGACAATTGCTAGCTGTGTGGCCAGGTTCACGACAATTCCAGCATAGAGACTTGGTGGTGCATTCTGAAGCAATGTGCCTGTTCAAATAGTTCATGCATGGTTAGAAGGGCTCTGCAACAATTACAAGAACCATCAATAAGAGAATAAGCTCCTAAAATAAAAGGAGCAGAGCTGGGCCTTACAGCTCCTTAGAAAAGACACTACAAGATTACTCACAAGACAAGAGATGACAAAGAATTAACATATAGCATTGGAACTTCCACGGTTACACCTAGTTTATATGCTTCAAGCACCCATTCCAAAAAATGAAACAAAAGAAGAGGGAGAAAATTAATCCAAGGTACAAAGCACATAAAAACACAAGAATTTGAAATATGTAGCATGCCAATGCAGGATAAAACTAGCTAAAAAGAACCACTATTGATAGAAATTTACATGTTTAGACACCTTTAAAATAAAAATTTCATATAAAAGATTAACCAGACAAAAGAACTGCTAACTTGAGTAAACTCAAAAGATCTATCAGATTCGGCTTTAACCACGGGGGAAGAAGAAGGTTCTTACCCAGGGAGATTACAATTGTGACAAATTGCCACATTTGGGCACTCTCTAGCGTAGTGGCCTGGCCGTTTGCAGTTCTTGCATAGATTGTTTTGACTGGAAATAAAAGAGAAACACAGTTAATATTCCAAAGATTGGCAGATAAATATTCTTCAAGGAAATTCTGGCAGACAAAAAAATATATGCATAAATGTACAGAAAAGCAAAGGAAATGTGGGCTCAGTACCAGGAAAATTATGAGACATATCCATCCCAGCAGAAAGCAGAAAAACAAAGTAAAACCTCTTAAAGAAATAAGTGAACAAAAACCTAACCTCAAGCCAATCATGCTGAAAACCTACTGACATAAAAGATCATACACATTACATGATAAACACCACATTCATATAACGAAGAACACCCCAATATAGAGCCAGGGGAGTTCAAAATATGCTCTTAATCATCATCTTATTGAACCATAAAACAATAATCATATTATAGCCTATAGGTTCATCTTCAGTTTGAAACTGAGTGACAAATTGTGCAGACCCAAAATGTCTTCATTCTCCTGCCATGACTCAACACACTTGAGAAAAATGGGTTCCTTTATTTGTGAGACCAAGTAAATTCCCAGAAAAAATAGCTAATATTGAAAAATTACATGCAGACCCATGTACCTTTCTCTAAGGATTCATCACATTCAATATTCTTTAAAGATTTACATCACAATTAAAAGAAAGAAAAAAAACTTTTTAAGAACGATGCATTAACACATCTTTCCTCAGGCCACTTAACTAGCTGAGGAAAGAGAATTAACTAAATGATTGAAAATTAGAAAACCTGAAACCCCGACGAGACTCCCTCCTGTAGGGTGCATTACGGTAAGAAAAGCGATCAGATCGGATCTTACGATCCATGGGGCTCCGGCTCCTGCTCCTGCTTCGGCTCCGGCTGTCTGAACTCATGTTCAAACTAATGTTTATCAACACCTACCACCACCGATCAGCAAAAACACCAACTCAACCAACACTAACTGCTGCTGCCTCCTCCCTGTCCACAGCACAACCACACACCCATCATCATCCATGAGCCATATCAGACCTCTCAGTATTCCCTCCAAAACATAAACACCAAATCCCAAGAGTAAAACACATAACAGTCAACAAGCAACCCATCTTATATCAATTACAAACCACTCAATTCAGCACCAAGCACTTGATAACCCCACACCTCAACCAAATTCCTCATGAAAAGTTCAGCCATCTCTTGAAAATAGTCATCACCCGAGTATACATCAGAAAGTCATGAACAGACACAAAAACTCCAATTCACAACCATCCATCCACGCTAGACAGACAAAGTTCATTGGACAGTCTCCAAGAGATGATAAAAAGAGAAAAAATGGAGGCAACTTGTTAACTATGAAAAAAGGTAATGGCTGATTGAAGAGGAGTTTCTCTGTCGATAAGGAAAACCTGTTGTGGTTCAAAAGAGAAATCAAGGAGAATGAAGAGAAATACATAAGATAGAAAATACACTTGGAAACATGCTCTTAATTTCTCTCTGAGACTTTCAACTTTAATTGTAAAAATTAAGAATTTGAAAAGAGGGGATTATTGGAGACCTCTAGGTGGTTGGAAAGCAGAAAAAAAAAAAAAGTCAGTTTACTAGTTTGCATAGGAGATATTCTGTGTGAAAACCAGGTTACAAGCTAGTAAATTTCCATTTCCGGTTTAAGAACCTCTGCTGAATTGCCTCCTGAATTACCCTCATCCTCTGAAATTATTTCCCACACAGACTCCTTTATCTTCCCCACAAGGACTCCAAACCCAGCAACAAATACCCACTTCTCCATACATCGAGAAGTGACTTATTACCAACCATTGACACAATCTTAATACGAACCATTTTAAATAGGTCAGTGCTTTAGTAACATGCCATTATATTCAACCCAAAAAGGATAAATCAAATACACTTCAAACCTTACAAAAAGAAAAGCCAATAGACTCTTTAAAAATATGAGTAACTAACTAAGAGTAACAAAAAATGCAAGACCATTGACAATTTATAGAAACAATAGCCTTTTTAAATTTTAACCTCCTCCTACAGCTGTAAGAGTGAAGCGATGGGACTAGCATTTCTTTTCCTATTAATTTCTGTTGCTCGAATTTGCATGAAGATAAAGATGATAGTAACCCATTATCGTAGTAACAGAAATTCAAACCTCCAAAAGCAATGATTTGATGCAAAACTGAAGATATAGCTTAAAATTCAGATTTCAATCGCAGACCAACCACGAAAACAGCAATTACAAGATTCGGGGCAAAATTAACCGAAACCCAAAGAACATAGAAGAAATTGAAAAGACAAAGCAAGAAATACCCTAACCCTAGCAGAAGGAACCAAAACGAAATCAAATAGTAGAATCAAAGGAATACCAAAAGAAGAAAGAAAGAACCTGACGTTACCGGGCGCAGTTTAACCGTTTCGGATAAGGCCGAGAAGGAAAATGAAAAAGTTAAAGCAAGAACCGTACGGACGACCCCCCAATTTCTATTTTTGGTGAGAGTGGGATTTCGACGAGGAAGAACAGCCGCTAAAAAGAAGCGTACTTTCTGAAACGAGGGTAAAATCAGAAATGGCTGATGAAAGATAGAACCGTTATATCTTCATTCCGATAAAGTTTACTTCTCTTGGAGAAAGCCTGGTAGCATTGGGCCGTTGAGTTCTTCAGATATATCTGAGCTCAACCTTGTGGCCCAAACTTGAATCAGAGTGGAGGCTTTTCATTGGCTCTGAAAACATTTTCTAGGATTTTCTTCTTATTATGACCTACAAATTGGCTATGAATTTGTTTAACTTCTATAAGCAAGATTAGAATATCATCACATGTGTATTTAATTAATATTTAAATTATTAGTTTTTGTAATTATATTATAATAAGATATGTGTTAATATTCTTAAATTATTTAATGATTTAAATTTTTGATATTTTCTGTATAAAAGGACAATATAGTTTTATAATACAAATTTATAAGATTAACACGTATAAAGCTAGTTACCTTAAAAAAGTTACTTATGGAGTTTAAAATTTTCATTGTCTTATTTGTATACAATAATATTCAGAAGATCCAATTTACTTGGAAGGAGATGAATGATGAAAATAGAAAGTAGTAGGAATTTTTTTATTTAATAATTAAATTACGTAATAATTTGTAGTCAAATATTTGACTTAAAAGTCTATACATGTATTATTTAAACTTGATTCAAATAATTTTTTTTTGAATAAAAATTATTTCCATATTATAACATAAGTATTAAATTAACCCAAAAAGAAGTTTAAATACAAAAAAAAAAAAGCGAAGTTTAAACATGAAACGTCTTTCAATTTAATTCTTACAATCAATGAAACCCATAAAAATCTATTTTTAGCTATTTAACTTTTATGTGATGAAAAGTAATCACGTGACTCACTTAATTTAACATGTTAACCGTTATTCGTTGTGAAATATAAATGGTCGCATGACGAATAAGCCAACAAGAAAATCCAATGTGCCTCATCCCATCTTCGACCAGAAAATTTATTCATTTTTATAGACATATACTGTTCAATAATTTGTTAAATTTTAAAAAATAAAATAAAAATATCTTACAACAATAATTAATTCAAATTTTATTTATAAATAAAAATATTATATATCAATTAATAAATTAAATATTTAAATATTAATACGTTATTTATGTCCATTTTTTTTTTAATATTTATGATTCCTTGACGAAGGCCAACGAGCTCAACAAGTCATATTACCTGAAGAGAAGGGTAAAGAACAGCTTAGATAAAAACAGTTGGAATAAGCCCATTCTCTTTGCTTCATACAGAGGCAACGCTCATTCGCCCCCACCAAAACAAGTATGGCGGAAAGCAGAATAAAGTTTCCTGGTAGCATTAAATTATTTGTTAATGCTTATTCATCTGGAAAACCGCCCAACCACCAACTTTGATATCTCCTCCGTGACAGTCAAGAAACACCGATGCAAATTTTTCATGTGATTTATATCATGTTACCCTCCACAAGAAAACATGTCTCTCTTTATACTTTGAATGATTACTTTGATTGGCTACCAAAATTAACTTGTCTAGCCTTTTGATTTCCATCACTTCAAGGCAAAATTCGCTTGTCCAAATCGTCAATCGCTTGTCATACGACTCCCACCCAAAAAAAAAAAGAGAAGATGTTATGAATTATAATGGCACAGACTGACATACACTACTCCATTTCTTAGGATTTCTTATCAGCTTTTGTGACTACAAAATGGTGGGAACATTTTGGGAGTTTAAGCAAATTTCCGCTGCCCAACACTTTTACTTTTGTCAAGCTATCGTCTATATTCAAATTTATTCCTACCCATCAATATTATTGTGTCTAATTATTCTCAATTCTGAGTTATCTAATCCACTAGAATGTAAATTTTGTTGAAAGAAAAGCAATGAAAGAAAAGCAATAAAAATTGGTGGGTTCAAAGCACCAGCACCGCCCCTTTTGGCCATCTTTAGGCAGGGGATAGGAATATTTCTACCTCTTTTTGTCTACACCCTCCTTACATAGTCGGATACCCACTAGCCTATCGAAATTCAAAGACGCAGTCGAAATTTTTATTATCTTATAAACAGTGTTCGGCTCCACGCTCACTTAATCCTCGTATCCACCACACAGAGAAATGACCATAAGCTGTGTTTGGTTGCTTTTATTTCCAATTGCAATATAAAATTGCCTGCAATCAAATGCTGTTTTAATTGCAATTAATATATGAAAAATAATTCATTAAATTATTTAAAAATGTAACTAAAAATATATAAACTTGAATAAATATAATAAAAAAATAAAAATTTATGTACATTTTTTAAAATAATTCAAAAGTTTTTTTAGATATTAATATATCATTCTACCTAAAGGGCCAACAATTGAAATTTATGTTAGCCAATTAACATAAACAAATTGATTTTGATGGGCTAGCTGCTTATATTATGAACATATATATTAGATATATCAAAGCAATTATACTATATAGCACTTAAATTTTGAGTATGAACCAGCTTACATTAAAGTTGTTCATTTGTTTAGATAAACAAACAGCCATAGTTCGAGTAATTTCTCATAGTTACATGATGTGATTAGTATTAATTTCAATCTCAAGTTAATTGTTTTCTTCATTTTCAATTTTTTATTCTTTAATTAATTTTTATTTTTCTTTCTATTCACTTTAAAATCATTAAAATTTTAACAGTAAGTTAAGGTTTGTATTTGATACAATATTTATTACTAGCATTTAACTGCAAAATGTCATCCCATAAATGTATAAATAGAAAAGTTAAAATCTCTCAAAATAAATATTTTTAAAATTATAAATATTTATTTTTTAAAAATTCCTAATTTTAAATTTATTTATTAATTAGGTGATAATATTTAAAGTGATATTATAATCAAATACAAATCTATAAATTAATTGTACAAGATCGATTCAAGAAAGGAAGCTTGCCCGTCTCTTATAATCCAGAAATTAAAGCTGATGAAATGTGCAACGTGGCAGAGCCGCCAAACTCGGCCTTAAACTGTCCCACTTCCTGACCCATAAAGCGCTCGAGTGTTACAAACAGCCTTCAATCTGAGAGTAGAAAAGTTAATAATCCCCGTTTCGGCTTCGGAAATTAAACCGAAGGGACCCCAGGACAAAACGACCCTCCATCCTGGTCTCCTGTGTCGCTTTGCCTCGGCCTTTTTTAGCTTGCAAGCAAATTGTTCACTCAAGTTTGTGATGCATGTGAAGTTCACAGACACAACCCAAATCAGTGTCGGCGCTTCTACGCTTTCCCTCACTCACACTCTCGCTCGTGACTTTCCCTAAATCTTCTTCCTGCTAATAGTGATCATATTTCCTGATATAAAAACGAAACCAAACGGAACCCCCACTCGAAGCCATGAAACTCTCTTCTCTGCTTCATCAACTTTTTCTCTTCATTTCGCTTATTCTTTTTCCGGGATTCCCTTTGGTTCATTCCAGCTACCATGACTACTCTGACGCATTGTCCAAATCAATTCTGTTTTTTGAGGGGCAACGTTCGGGTTTCTTGCCACAAAACCAACGTATGGGATGGAGGGCTAATTCAGGATTGAGCGACGGTTGGATGTATAACACTGACTTAACCGGCGGATACTACGACGCCGGTGACAATGTTAAATTCGGGTTCCCTATGGCTTTCACGACGACAATGTTGGCCTGGAGCGCGATTGAGTTCGGAGATTTAATGCCGCCGAATGAGCTGAGAAATGCTCTGGTGGCGATCCGTTGGGCCACTGATTATTTGCTGAAAACTGTCTCTCAGCCTAACCGGATTTTCGTTCAGGTAAAATCCGATGTTACTTTTAGTAATGGTACTCGTTTTTCTTTTTTTTTTTTGTGATTTTCTGCATTGGGTAGGGGCAATTTGGAAACTCGAGTTCATTGCTCTTGGCTTTCAGTTGAACTAATCCGTGACTGGGTAAAGCGTGGCTGGTGGCTCTAGTCCATGGTTGTCGTTTTCTAACCAATTTTGCTCTGAAAATCTTACTTTTGCCTCTTGGGTTGCGCATTTAGCAGTGCCACCTGCTCTTGAAATCTTAGATGTGAATGGGAGCTGGTAAAACAAAAGAGAAACCAGAGCAAAGGTCGCTAAATGAATAGTAATCTAATTCAATTCATTAATCCAAATCCAATAACAAACCAATTTGTTTGTTTTCTGTCTTAAGTCAGCTTTCACTCCCTAAATCAAAGACTGAAAGTAACAGGGCATGTTTGTTTACTGTTAATAGAAAAACTAATGCTTATTTTTATAGTGTTAAAACGAGTGTAATTAAGGTTTGACGCTTGTTGGTGCGGTCACGTGCGTGACTGTTTTGTTTATAACTCAAAGCATTCTTGTGCTTAAGAAACTTATTTAATAGTAAACAAATTTCAACTTCTTGTTTAATATTTGATGCTGGGGTGGACCAATTTTCTCTTCTGGCACACTAACTACTCATGTAAAGGTGGAATCTGGACCATATTTTTTTCTTCTTAAAGTCCTTGAATTGCATGGGTCAAGTTACTGTCCCTATCGTCCTTTGTGTTCCACATGGATAGGATATGTCTCTACTCCTCGTTTGATCTCCCCACGCGCCCAACTTGCACGCAATGTACAGTTCCCATGGTCTGGGTGTTTAATTATCTTCCTACTGCTACTTACTGTTGGTTAGGTTGGGGATCCAAATATAGACCATAGCTGTTGGGAGAGGCCAGAAGATATGGACACGGCCAGGACCGTTTACGCCGTCGATGCACCGAATCCAGCTTCTGATGTGGCAGCCGAGACGGCAGCAGCTCTGGCAGCTTCGTCCATGGCGTTCAGATCAGTAGACCCAGGATATGCCGAAACGTTGTTACACAATGCTGTTCAGATTTTCCAATTTGCTGACAATTTTAGAGGTGCTTATAGTGACAACTCAAATATAAGGGACGGGGTGTGCCCTTTTTACTGTGACTTTAGCGGGTATCAAGTAAGTAAAATACTGAGATAGAAGTGGCTTAAGAATATTATTTTTTGGTTTCATTTAATTTGATTGGGCTGTGTGTGTGTGGATAGGATGAATTGCTTTGGGGAGCAGCATGGTTAAGGAGGGCCTCTCAAGACAACTCTTACCTTAATTACATAGAAAACAATGGCAAAACCCTTGGTGCCGATGACAATATTAATGAATTTGGGTGGGACAACAAGCACGCTGGTCTAAACGTTCTTGTCTCCAAGGTCAAGGCTTAGCTCGTTTAATTTCCCGAATACAAACCCTACCTTCCCAAGCATTTAATTGGTAAAAACTGTGATATTGACTTTGGTCGTCCCTGTTTTTTCAGGAAGTGCTAGAAGGAAATATGTACTCTCTACAATCATACAAAGCCTCGGCTGATAGCTTCATGTGCACATTAATTCCAGACTCATCATCATCCCACATTGAGTACACCCCTGGCGGCCTCATCTACAAACCTGGCGGCAGCAACTTGCAACATGCGACAACCATTTCATTCCTCCTCCTCGTTTATGCTAATTACCTCGCTCGCACTTCACAAACAGTCAACTGTGGGAACCTGATGGCTGGCCCGGGTTCTCTTCGGATGCAGGCCAAGAAGCAAGTCGATTACATTCTAGGTGATAATCCAATGGGATTGTCGTACATGGTTGGTTATAGCAACTATTTCCCCCAAAGGATTCATCATCGTGGCTCCTCCTTACCATCCGTAAAGGATCATCCTGGATTCATCGCTTGCAAGGAGGGTTCGATTTATTTTAATTCAACCAATCCTAACCCAAATGTCTTGGTTGGTGCTATAGTGGGAGGACCTGGAGAAGATGACGTTTATGTAGACGATAGAGCTGATTTTAGGAAGTCAGAGCCGACTACCTACATTAATGCACCATTTGTTGGTGTATTAGCCTATTTTGCAGCTAATCCCAATCCTAGCTAGCCCGAAAGCAACTTGCTCTGTACATAGTCAATGATTTTTTTTTTGGTAATTTTAAAGTAGGAAAAGGTGTCTCTCATCTTGAGTGAAGCAAAAGAGGCAGAGGCCAGTCAGTTCATGAAATTTTTTAAATACCGAATCACGAGAACTCCTTGTGACTTTTTAGAAAGAAAGAGAATTAAAGATCTTTTTTCCAAATTAAAGGAGTAAAATCCTAGTATGCCTTCAAAGTTTGATAAATCAAACTATTTTTTTCTCTATTTCTTTTCATAAATTAGCATTAAATTAATGTTAGCATTGTATGCTTCATATAGGCAATTAGAAATGGGATGCTTACCAAGTAAAAGAATAATTTATCTTTTTCTTTATAAATGAAATTAATTTACTTTTTTTTTCCTTTTTCTTTCTCTTTGTCAAATAAAAGACCAAGCTCTGAAGATTCTTTTATAATCACGAGATTACACCAAATTTGATGCTTCATAAAAAATTACAATTCTACCAAGTTTGACTGCAGGCAAGCCTAGTAAACTGTACAGTGCTAATTAAGTTGGATATAGTGGATGACCCAGATCCCAATTTCAACTTAACCTAGTTATGATCTAAATAAAATAAAAAGGGTCTAAATACAGCTAAATTTTCTGAACAATTAATAAGCCAAATGGTTCAAAAAAAAAAAAAAACCCACCCAAAACATTATAACTTTCTGTCTTTTTTATTTGAGTAGGAACTAGGGACCCCAACTGTTACAAAAACCAATAATTGTACAGCTCCCGCACAAATGCCATTGCCAACCTTACAGTCTCTCTTTTATTGCCTTTTGCTTTTTCCTTGATTCATTATCAATTAAATGTGACAGGAAATGTAATTTATATATTGAAAATTAATTAATTCTGAAGATATAATAAATTATGTCAAAAATTAATTACAAAAAGAAAACGGAAAAAAAAAAACAGCGACAACATTTGAACTAACACTATCTCATTACATAAAAGACTCCAATGAACCAGCAAATCTTCCTCATCCAAAACAGCAGTTGGGGCATTGATTTTATGTGACACGTACCATAATTTAAGTGCAATCACAGACAGTTACCCCCGGCCCCCATTCATATTTTGTATAGTCACCCAAAATATTAAATGGTCTCACGGTCATCGATCCTCGCCGGCGACCCACCGTATAGATCCGTACTCTAGGGCGGCATTCTTGCCTTCCTCATTATTATCTCACTTTTATTGGTGGCTTAGGCTAATTATGAGCCGATCACCAGCCGTTAAACGACATGTGGTTGTTTTGAAGTACCTGTGACGATGTAACCTGATATTTTTCATGTATTGTAGTAAAAAAAGTTTACATTAATGTGATGTGTTGGTAGGGCACAATCTTAGGATGCCCCTGCTTGTTATGTTATGCATATTGTCTTGTATGTATATTCCAAGTGAAGAATATGCCTTAGGGGACAAGTTCGAATAATGGTGCCATGCCATCTGACTCTATTGTCATGATTAAGTTTAAAACTGTTGATTAACATTCTTTGTTCGATTCATCATCTAAAATATTAGCTGCTCAATGATGAGTAGCAACAAGAAACATGTGAGCTATATACAATACATAATCGCATGCCATTAATGACTAATGGCATATATGCCTGTAGACTCACAGGGACACACTGCTCGCTGATCAGACGCTAGATCGCATGTTGTTCTGACTAATTATAACATCTTCTTCTTTATTTTGTGGATAAAATATTGGTCACGTGAAGCAGTTACAAATATTCATTATTGAATCAAATTCTGTATTTATTTGAGAATATATATGTCTTGTTTAGCAAATTGATATCATTAGAATTTAGAAGACTGGAAAGATTGAAAGGATGGTAATGAAGATGTGACAAGATACTATTAAGGATGGCAGTTCCTGGTGTATGGGCTTCATGATGTTTATAAATTTCCAACACAAAGGTCCGTGGATGTGCATCTACAGGGAAAGCCTAGCCTACTAAACTCTGGCCCATGGTCTTCAGTGGATATATCCGGTTCGATTTGGTAGGGCTCAAGCTGGTTCGTGATTCATCGATGACAGAAGAACATCTTGTGGCTTTTTCCCTCCCTCTCTCTCTGCCCTCCTTTCTTTTCCTTTTGGTGCCAAACCAAAGGCAATACTTAAGATTTTCCGATGGGCAAAATGAATGCGAAGTACATTTTGATTAAAAGAAAAAGAAGGAGTATTCCATTTACATTACTTTTCAATTATGGTACATTGGATTAGGTCAATTGTTGCCTTGTCAGCCTAAAAGAATATAACATTAAGAGTTATCAAAGCACCATTAAATAGTGAAAATTTTGCCACTTAGTCCCCATGTTAAGCGAAGTCTCTTCCATTAACAATTCTTGTAGTACCAACTAACCTTAGTCTAATAGCCTCCTTAATGTTGTTAATGAGCTCATATGTTGTTCTCTACGTACTTTCCCTTGTGCAGCTTATCATTCCTCTGCAAAGATAGTGTCACGGGGTCATTACTCTCTCCCCCATAAACGCCCTTATGGGGGTGTGCAACACACCCGCTTATAAAGAGCCCAAGACCTCCCATTCCTGTCCGATGTGGGATAGAGCACTTTCCTCATGACACTCTCTCCCACCCGATTCCGGCAACGTCCTCGTTGCCGTCGGCCACCTTGCCTACCTTGAGTCTCCCTGGACCCGGCGCTTTGGAGTGAGTCAGACGAGGTCCGATCCGCTCTGATACCACTTGTCACGGGGTCATTACTTTCTCCCCCATAAACGCGCTTATGGGGATGTGCAGCACACCCGCTTATAAAGAGCCCAGGACCTCCCGTTCCTGTCCGATGTGGGATAGAAGCACTTTCCTCATGACAATAGTCCGAAGATGATCGAGATAAATGCCTTCCTCTTTAGTTTGTGTTGTGCTTAAGCAAATTCACTACTCCGATCTCCAACACCTATGGTCAAGTTAGAAGCTGTATGGCATTTTCCCAAACTTACTGTAAGAGCAACAAAAAAATAAATAGTCTTTTGTTTTCTCCACATTACCATATAGAGAACAGACTGTTAAGTATTAAGTATAAGAAACTCTGTAAAAGACTTCTGTTAAATAGTTCAAAAACAGGAACAAACAGAGGTTTTTCAAACTAAACTTCCTCATCACCATTCTTCATTCACTAACATGGTATATACAAAGACCTTGATAGGAGATGAGATTACACAAATTACACTTGTTCATATAGATATTACAAGTGTTAACTATGAAAGGTTAAAAAGCATGCAAAATTTCACCTAATATGCCACCCCATTAATGCAAACACGTCTCCAAAATTCAACCTAGAAGTCAACCGTGACACAAGTGATTCATTACCAAAATATAATGCAAGTATTATCAAAAACACAGACAACATCAATCATATACCAAGTTTTAATCTTTCCTTTAGCAGAGAGCTTACCAATAATAGCCATCCAGGCTAAGATGGCATGTTATTAGTAAATAGTAACGATGGGTTTATTCCTAGAGGAAGGCACATCATTAGTAAGTGTAAAACAGTTTTAATCTTTAAACCTGCATTCCTCACAATATCCGTTGTAGTCTAGTTGGTTAGGATACTCGGCTCTCACCCGAGAGACCCGGGTTCAAGTCCCGGCAACGGAACTTAATTTTTCTCCCCGGCAACACAATATCCTTTTTATTCAACTTGACTCAAAACAGTGTCGTTTTCGATCCCCTTCCTAAAAGGCTTGAAAGCTCTTTATTCTTTTCAAGTTGCCTTGCTGAAACGCCACGTTTACTCCATTCCCTCAGACTCAAGTCTTCTCCGTTCTTCTCAAGTCCTCAGCAAAGGTGGCCCACTTTTCGTATCCTGCAAATTGAAAACCCTAATTTCAATTGGGTATGTAGATTTCTCCGCCCTAAAACTTTCTCTCTTGTGAAGTTACAATATTTCCCCATTTGATCAAAGTATTGAACTTCGAGTTTCCATGTATTGCATTACGGTTTATGTTTATAATGGCTCTTTAAACTTTTTAATTAATTTTTGCCTTTCATCCCCATCAATTACGGCTTTACTACGAGGCCTTGATTTATGCTCCACTTTCAGAAACCAAAAAAGATTGTCAATTTATATGGAAAAAAACCGTTAATTTAATTATGCATCATTTTAAGTGGTTGCTGTTAGTGTAACTTATTTGATTGCTAATTCATACATCAGTTTTGTCCTTTTTGTTTTAATTTCAGCATTATTTATCAATTTAAGTTAAGGTGTAGTGGCTGATGTGAAAAGTTGCTTGACTAATATAATTTTCTGCTCTTAAATATTGTTATTTGAATTATGCTTTTTGTTCTTGGCCCAAAAAATGAAATAGAATAAAAGCTTTTTGGTGGAACTTGTGTTGTTCTGATGAGGGCATTATTATTATGAATTTGCTTGGTTACTATGTGGCAAGGATTTGTTTAGAGAAGATTGCTGCAATGTTCTATGATCTGCTAATTTGATTAGTTGAAATCAAACTTAAACTTCAGATTGCAATATTCAACAAGCGTGTGTGCTGCTTCCTTAGTTGACCTGGATTGTTTTTTATTTCTAAATTGTCTATCTGGAGAATGCTTTAGATGAAAATTAAAAGAGGGGAGTTGGTTTTGTGGTTTTCAGCGATTTATAGTTATATGTATACTACAGGATGAGTATATGTCTATCTGATGCCAAATTTTTTTTTTCTGGTAGTATACCTATCCATAAAACCTGGTTAGCTTATTTGGTTGTCTGATGTGTAAATTTCAATGTTTGCCGAGTGAAAGCATCATAGTTGTTCTATGTTATGGTCCTGAAGGAAGTATATTTTGTTTGATGAAGTTTTATGATGTGTAGCCTTGTCTTTTTTTTGCCTGTTATTGACTTTGTTTGCTATAAGTTTTGTAGCAATGGATGTAGAAGATGATACAAGAGAAGGCTCTGTTTCCTCTGTTATTCTTGAGTCTTTGGAATCTACCCAGAAGGGAGATAAGCTTTCTGCTGAGGATTTGGCTTGGGTTGACTCTTGTCTGATTTCAGATACTGAAATTTTGGAAAGAAACTGGACCTCCTTCAAAGATGTTTTGCTGGAGATCATTGGTGATCAACCTGAGTCACTCGACTCTTCTGCAACTGGAAGTGATGGTTTTGTTGGAGGAACTGAAATCAAGATACTTCCTTCCATGGATGAGGCAGAGACTGCCAAATACTCAAGGAGAACTGATGATGATCTTGTTGTCATTCCAATTAATGGAGACAATGAAACAAACACCGATGGTGATCCAATCAAAAGGACTGCTTTTCTGTCCCGAGTACTTCAGGAAGACTCCAATGAAACGTTTCGGGGAGATCCTTTCCTGCCTACCTACAATGAAGATGAGAGAAGGGGTGAAGCTATTGATTTAGGACTTGAATTGAGTTTATCTGCAGATGAGACGAATTCATCAATGGTGGATATTTTCAGGGTCTGGGATTTGGACATTCCAGCTGAGGAAGATGGTCTTATTAAACAGTTGAACAAGGCTATTGCTGAGACTTCCTTTCAATCAATGCCATCAACTTTGGACGATTCAATGGCATGGAAAGACTTGAAATATGAGCCACTAGATAATTTGATTGCTAGCATTGCAGATCTATCTTTAGATAAAAGTTCTAGTTAATTTTTCTGTCCATATAAGAATCTAGTCATATACATATGTAAATTTGTTATATTGCCCCGATATATGCTGCTGTGATCTTATGACATCAACAATGAAGAATAGGCGTTTGGTCCTTTCATCAGCTTAAGATGGTCCTTTTGTTTTGCATAGGATTTGAAAGAGACAATGCGTTCAAGTAGAATTGCTAGTAATTTGAACCCCGACTTTGGCTTAAGCCCCAACATGCCTCAGACAGTTAGACACCAAGACAGCTTAGTTGATTTTATTTTAGCCTGGCACCGCCACATTTCCAGGCCACCTTCTGCATTAAGAATCGACAGGCAGAGCATTAACTTGGAATTTGTTAGACATCTCAAAGCAGTAGCATTTCCCTGTTTTCTTAGAATTAAACCCAGTTTTCTTTAACAGGCTCGAGCTCTGACCACAGTGTGGGGTATTGATTAGGTCTGCACAAATAATGGCCGGCATTCCAACCGCAAGGAGACATATTGCTAAGCAAAATGGTTCTAACTTCTCAGTGCAATAAAGCAAAACAATCATTTTGGTGAATCTTAACCACAGATCATATCCTTTTCCCATCAGCCACATGTACGCCAAATGATGGTGTCAACAAGATCAATGGCCCACCTGATGATACGGATTCTCCGTGGTCTACATGGCATTGAAAAATTTCAATGGACAAGATGACTTGGCATTCTGTCAACCGTCCGACATGGGGTTCACGATTCATCAAACCCCTAAAAACTTAAAACCATGGCCATTAATCTGAACAAAATTAGAACCTCATGTTCACTTCCCGGAGGATTCTCTGAAACAAACTCTAATTTGGACGTGAAACATAGTGAATGTGATGCATTTGTCTATACCCTAATGACATTACAAGAGAAAAAAATCTGGGGTATTTCAAGCCCTTTTAATTTCTAAACATATTCTTTTACGAGGCGGGTATAACACCATCCATATCAGCCAGGCATGCAGCCTGCCAAATGTGCAAGATTATCATCCACATGGTGGCACGAGATTGGCCGATGCATGACAGCCTCAAATGTGACATCCCATAACAATAAACTGCACAACTATATATACAGTGAGTGAGACTTGCATGTGTGGTAAAGAAGCCCCAAGCTAAGAGGAGATAAGGTTAGAGTGAAGCCCGTTATAGGCTTAAGCGGTTAGCCTCCATCAAAGCGAACGAAAAAGAGAGAAAGAAATGGCATCAGCTTCCGCAACTCTCCTCAAGTCTTCTCCTATCCTTGACAAGTCCGAGTGGGTTAAGGGCCAAAACCTCCGCCAGCCTTCAGTTTCTGTTGTCAGATGCTACCCCACCGCCCCATCAGCCCTCACCGTCCGTGCCAGTTCCTACGCTGATGAGCTTATTAAGACCGCGGTATGTGTACTTAATGCTACTCGACTCTTCTTATAGGATATATAAAATATTTAAGTCTTCGAGTTCGATATAGATTTAATCTTCTGAACCATCTTTTTATATATTAGCTTAGCTTAGTTTAGTTAAGCTATGCTACACTAAATTCTTAATTTGCGTCACTTTAACGTATTCCTACGATATCCTTATATATGAATATGATAAGTTTATTAAAAAGACAAGATATTCACGTGAGACACGTATCTCTGTCCGACACTTTAATCTTGAACCCATGTAAGAATAGTTTATAAGTGCAACTGCTCACTCTAATAAGTCACCAATCCTGTTAAAGAGATTGTCAGTAAAATAAAGTAATCTCTGTAGTTTCTGGATGGTTTAATTTTATTGATTAGATTATATTGCTACATTAGTGAATGAGTTTCTGAACTATGTAGGACACACCATTTGACGTGCATTTTCCTTTCTTTCCTCTGGATGTAGAAAACCATTGCATCCCCAGGCCGTGGTATTTTGGCCATGGACGAATCAAATGCTACATGTGGGAAGCGACTTGCCTCAATCGGTCTAGAGAACACTGAGGCTAACCGCCAAGCATACCGTACGCTTCTGGTGTCAGCCCCTGGCCTCGGCGAGTACATCTCTGGAGCTATCCTTTTCGAGGAGACTCTCTACCAATCTACCACCGATGGAAAAAAGATGGTTGATGTTCTTGTTGAGCAAAACATTGTCCCTGGTATCAAAGTCGACAAGGTAAAGCCAAACCCGATAACCTTATAGCAATTTACGCATACAGATGATGTTTAAGGAGGCAATGGAATGTTGTTTGATCAGAATTTCACCAACACTTGTAATCCGATGATGATAAATACAGGGTTTGGTACCCCTCCCTGGTTCCAACAACGAGTCCTGGTGCCAAGGCCTTGACGGTCTTTCCTCCCGCACAGCTGCCTACTACCAGCAGGGTGCTCGTTTCGCCAAATGGTACTCCCATTTTTTTGATAAATTCTCACTCATATTAGATAGTGTTAAAAAGAAGAAAAAAAAAATCAATCTTGTATAACACTAGCCTTTTTTGATTGGCCAGGCGTACTGTTGTGAGCATTCCCAACGGCCCATCTGCCTTGGCAGTTAAAGAAGCAGCTTGGGGTCTTGCCCGCTATGCCGCCATTTCTCAAGTAAGTCGAGAGATGAGAATTTTTCTATATCACAGTGTGCTTGTGAATTGTTACTGAGAAATTTTTGCTGCTTTGTGTTTGCAGGACAGCGGATTGGTCCCAATTGTGGAGCCAGAAATCTTGCTTGATGGTGATCATGGAATCGACAGGACTTTCGAAGTAGCCAAGAAGGTTTGGGCTGAGGTTTTCTTCTACCTTGCTGAGAACAATGTCATGTTTGAGGGTATCCTCCTCAAGCCCAGCATGGTCACTCCTGGAGCAGAATGCAAGGACAAGGCCACCCCTCAGCAAGTTGCTGACTACACCCTCAAGCTCCTCCACAGGAGAATCCCCCCAGCTGTCCCTGGAATCATGGTACATTTCTTTACAACCATTGTGATCTAATCAAGAATTTGCTTGGTGTAAATTAGTAAATCCAGTACTAATGGTTTACAAACCCTTTCTGTTTTTCTGCTGTGCAGTTCTTGTCTGGCGGACAATCTGAGGTTGAAGCCACCCTCAACTTGAACGCAATGAACCAGTCTCCCAACCCATGGCACGTCTCATTCTCTTATGCCAGAGCTCTCCAGAACACTTGCTTGAAGACATGGGGAGGCAGACCCGAGAATGTTAAGGCCGCTCAGGAGGTACTTCTTGTCCGTGCCAAGGCCAACTCACTTGCTCAGCTTGGCAAATACACTGGTGAGGGAGAATCAGAGGAGGCCAAGAAAGGAATGTTTGTCAAGGGCTACGTCTACTAAGCTGCAGAAGAGATAATAAATGCTTGAAGATGAAGGAGATAAACCGGATCTAGCTAGTTTCTCTCAAATGTGTTAATGGTTTTATAGCCCTGGAGACTATTTTTGTTCTTGATTACATGTACTTTAGCCACTCAATAAACTTCTTGCTGATGAGATTAGTTAGTGTGTACTTATGTATGCATCATCACATACTAAAATGCTAGAATGTGCATTTTGAGCTCCAGTATTTGTGTCTACTCTGATTCCTGCATTATCGATTTCTCATCCTGCATGACGCTGTTTGCTACAGTTATACCGCAATCCACCTCAATAAACATGCTCTGCAGATGCAGCCCTGCTCTTCTGGTAATAAATCATGCCCACTTTTTGGTTTGTCTTAAAAATTAGTACTGGGTCCAAGCAAACAGAAAATGAAGAATAATTGCCTATGCTCTTCATTCCATCAAAAAGAAAAAGGAAAAAGCTAGAATGATTAATGAATTCGATAGAAGATGCTGATCTTACACTTTGCTTCTCACAATATCGCGAACACCTTTTTGGATTCCAACACATCAGAAATTGGAGGAGACAAGGAGGAAACAAGTGGTTCATAGGATTTCAATCCATACTCTGATTGCATTTAATTGTCATGTCTAAATACTAGCAATAAGTTTTATCTGCCAGTCTTAACTTAAATCCGTAATCAAAACTAATAATATCACCATTTTCAGCTGGTGTTTTCTGAGGCAAAACAGAACTTCTTGACAATGGAACTGAACCAAAGGTTAATTCCTTAGTATGACCACCTGCCGCCCTTCGTTTGTTCTGCTTTTCATCACCAACGCAAAGAAATTCACAAGAAGCAAGTGAAGTGAAAAGTTTCACCTTAGTTCTTCGTAAATTTTTTTTGACGTAAAATTTTGATGGCGGCTTGTCTTTCTGATCGCCAGCAACAATGTTGATGGAAATTTTTAATTGAAAAGGACATTAACAGGGGTGTATACTTCCATTGGCACAAATAAAAACGTCACAACTTCACTACTCAGTTAGGCAAGAATCTTTGATTTTGGTACATGGGTAAAAATTATCTTCAATAGTTTTCATTTTTGCGCAAGGAATGGCACAGACAGAAGCCTAACCCATGGGGAAGGAAGATATATCTGACAAGGACCGCAAGCCGTCAATAAATACACAGATGTGAGAGATCATTCAGCAACATCTGCAACCAAAAAGTGATGGACACATTTATTAGACAAGAAAAACAATCATCCATGGAGTGGAAAACAAGGGTTTTGCGTGTGTGTGGATTTGGAGGGAAATGTATTACAAATCAAATACTTGGTTAAACAACTATAATTTACTAAGAAAATGAGCTAGTAAATGTGGTGGCCATGTAATTTACTAAGAAAATCTCAGACATGATAGCAACAAAACTTGGGATGTGAAACTGTATCAGTGGATGGAAGTTAGAGGTTGAGAGGTACCACAGATGCTCTGTAGCATGGAAAGTTCTAGCTACAAAACATTCTTTTTTTTTTTTCCAGCAAACTATTGTCCTTGCCGCTGATAATAATAGTAGTATAAATTTACGCAATCAGAAGACAACATGTTACCATCATTTGGCTTCCAAAGTTATTTTTACCATGCATAAAGTTTACTTGCCCACAGAATTTTTCTTGGAAGATATTAGCACAACTTGCCCCCAAGACAAAAGCTCATTCTTATTCAATAGGTTAAAAACTCATAAACAGCTAATTGTCAATCCTTCTGTTTCTCATGTGTTTCAATAGGAAGGAACTGCTCAACAGGTCAAGCTCTACTCAGAGAAACCTTCCAACTATTTCAAATGCCACCTGAACACCAAATGTCAACTCTATCACCAGAAGGAAAAAATTTCTTGTTTCAGTTGCTTACAGGGAATGTCAAGTTACATTTACTTCCCTGCATACTCAGGATACAAGCAATGACCGACATGTTTCACATATAGAAACAGACATCAATTGGAGGAATATTCTTTTCTCTGTTCACAGTTCACATGTAGTTGACAATTCCTGAGTTCATTCAGAAAATCAGAACTCTAAGAGAACAAACCACATAATCCACCTAATATGACAAGAAATATTTCTCAAGCAATGTCTTAGCTTTAAAGATACATTCTTTTGCTTTCTTATAGTCACAGTTCATCAAAAACATAGAATGACCTGTCTGGCAATAATAAGCGATGTCATGTGAGAGGAAGCCTACCTGCTTGGGCAATTATTTGTGCCCACTTTATTTATATTAGGTCATGCATTCAAATACACAACAAGCATTTATAAATAAAGTATTGAGATTTGCACAGAAAACTGTAAAATATCATTACCAATCGTAAGCAATGCTCTTAAACAAGTAAACAGTTCAAGCTAGGGATAACAATCATACCTAGCTCACTTATCAGGCTCTCTTTTGAAGGATCCAACCGGGACCACGCTTGAAGAGTCATGATTATTGCCACTCGAAATATCCATGCCTTGCTCCTTAAACATGAAGCAGTCACTGCACTAATTAGGTTTGAAAAAAAATCTAACTACACTGCTTAACACGCAAGGTTAAGAACAAAAAGGCTAGTAAAAGAAAAGGACAGAAAATTGGGAAAATCAGTACCTGATTGGTTGAAGCTTGACCATGCGCTCGTTGGGGCTTGGCATTTAGATCAATCAATTTATTACCCTTTCCATCCCCATCAGAACTACCATCAAGCACTGGAACAGGAGAGCCTCTATGATTTTGCTGGTTCTCTCTTGCTGCAAGCTTAGGTTGCTGCTGATTCTTATCCTTCCTTACTTCGTTTCGATCAAGCGTTTGCAACCCCAGTTCGTCCAAACGACCAGGCTTATCCCCTGGAAACTACAACAAAAGGCACGAAACAAAGAAAATAAAGTTTAGCAGACTTTCTAAATTTAAAAACCAAAAAGATTAAAACCTGTCTTGTGTAGAGTAACAAACCTCAACTCTCTGCCTCAACAAGAGATATCTCCCATGGGTCCGTTTACCTCCAACATGTACAATCATATCACATTGCAGGCAAAGGGAACTACCATCCACTTCACAATAAAAGAACGCTACATACAAAAAAAAAAAAATCAATAAAATTCCAAAAAGAAAAAAAAAAAGTTTTCATAATAATTTACATTATTCAAAAAGTTTTTTCTTTTTTTTTTTTAAGTTTCATACCAGGAGCATTTTCACATATATCACAGCGTGGGACATCGCTGGGGTCAGCTAACCCAACTCTCACATGCCTACTTGCAAGCTTGTTACACATGTGAACCTGAAACCTCCCAGTAAAGTCTCCTTATTGATTTAACAAAAAAAAAAAGAAGTAAAATAAAAACACACAAAATATTAAATACTGCAGCTGAAAATTTGCGAAAAGGAATGCAATGCAACCACGCCAATCATATTTCATCAAGCAAGCACAAAAAAAAAAACTTCCTACATACATTGAAATGTAATTTACTGCTCAGATTTCGCCCTTTTTAACGCCTTCTAATTGAATTAACTACCAAAATTGAAACATAATCTAATTCTAGAGACGACATCATTGATTTCAATTCCAAAACTCAACTTTGACTCAAGAGAGCACATTCAAAGAATATATTTTTATGGAATATACAGAGTTTCAAGTCAAGTTCGAGTTAAATCAAAACTATCCGTACATCAAGTATACTTATACGGCTATACGCGAGAGTAGGCGTGTATAAATACGCAGAGATTGATTAATAATACCAATAGTAATGAAAATGAAGAGACCTTTTCGTCGCAGGAACGGCAAAGAGCGGCCTCGTCGGCGGCGCAGAAAAGGATAGCGGCGGCGCTCTCGCAGACGTCACAAACCGTTCGCATTCTAATTTTTTTTTTCTTGTTTGCTTCCCGTTTACTTCTCCTTTCTTCGCTTCGAAGGCATTCTTCCACAGAGCGAAAAACTGATCAAAAATTTTCCAAGCACGAATTCAACGATTCAGCAAATGATTTTTCATTAAAATCTAAGCAGAGAGAAACAGAGAACGATGATGAGATTGAAACGAGAGAGGATCAAATTGACAGGAAAAGGATTTTGGTAAAAGAGAGAACCTGGGGAAACAGAGAAGCAAGGACTCTTTGTTTCAAAGTCTCCGAGAGACTGCGAGGAAGAATTTGGCAAGAAACATTAAAAAAAAAAAAACAAAGCTCACTCGCTGCAGTATGTAAATCCCTCACTCGCTTCTTGTCTTCTACTTCTTTTTCTTTCTCTTTCATTTTTCAAAACTCATAAAATAAAGGATTACTCGCTAATTTTTTTGTTTACTATTTTATTTTCTATAGATAAGTATTTAAATAATCCTTTTATGTAGAGTGGAAACGTGTCAGCAGAGGAAGGCGAGTATGGTTCGGTTTAATAATGGCGGAAAGTAGATCTGTGAGTGCTGAGCTGTCGTCTCCATGATCTGTTCCATATTTTAAGCTGGTGACCTTAAAAAATTAACAATTATCAACTCGCTTGTTGAGGATGTGCAATACACGAAGATCGCATGAATGCATGGCCCAGGGAACTCCTGGTAGGTGGGATCTACTCGCCTGACTGGGCGGTCAGCTTTTTCTACAAAGTTAGCGTTATTCTTTGTTTGTAATGTTTGGTGGGAAGCCATGAGATTACCATTTATCCTATGGATCCAACCATTCATGTTCCCCTTTTTCCTTTACTCTTGTTGGATTGCCTTTCTTTTTCTCTCTTTTTTTTTTTAAATTTTTTGCAAGAATTTGGGTTGTCTTGTTGACAAAAAAAAACCATTTTCTTTTCAACATTAAATAATTAAAATATGATATATAATTATTATTGAATTAAATATTAAGATACAACATGACGCGTGGGTCTATTTTCAGTATCTAATACTATTATTTTAGATACAAATCGAAACAATAGGTTAAATAGGAAAATAATTAAAAAGATTCAAGAAAAAGAAACAAAAAAACAAAAGTTTCATGAGAGATTGGAGATGGTGTGCTGGCACTTGGGGAATGGGACAAGGGGTCTACAAGACCAAAAATAAAAAATAAAAAAGCTTAGAAAGAAAAAAAAAAATTAGGTCATAAACATGGATTGTTGTGCAACCACTTACGTGTGGCCTCTAGCTTTGAAAGGTAGGGAAGACAGGAACAAAGAAAGCTGCCCTCAATGAATTTTCGTCCACCAATTTCATATCCAGCATTGGCCCACCCTCACAAATTTTAAGGCCATTGCTTTTCGCTGGTCACGTTGCCTTTTGCTTGGCACAACTCAACAGCCCCAGAAACTTATTTTCGGATAAAACTTTCAAAACAGCATGCAGTCTTTGGATCCACGCTTGAGAAGGAACGTGCTAATGCTTAATTATAATGAGAAAAAAAGTCTAACGGTCATGAATTTAATAAGAGTGTTTCTTCATCTATCAAGATGAATAATAAATAATATCAGAGTAAATATACATTTTTATTATTATGATAATTTTATAAAATGTATCGAAATCAAGATAAAATCGAATCAAAATATAAACCAATAACGTAAAAGCTAAAAGCTCTCACTAATTTTACTTGCACTGTGGGTCAATGGCCGTGTTGGCTTAACTAGAACGGATTCTTTTCCTCAAGGACAGATCCGTCCATGTGTTAAAGCGCCCACTAATTTTTCATGCAATTTAGGTCAGCCAAGCTGCTGGGCTTCCTATTACAACTCCACGAAACAAAACATTGGGCTCCATGCCTTCAATTTTCACTTCAGACTATCACGTTTAATGGATCACCTCCTCTTTTTAGGCCTTCTCAAGCTCCGTGTCAATATTAGAGGTGTCAGTATGAGTTGGTTCCATCAAAAGTCTTTGTAGATTGAGAAAATATAAAATAGATAATATCAGTCTATTTTTTATATAAGTTATCAAAATTTTAATTCAGTCTTCCTCTTATTAGTCTATGAGTCAAGTTAGATTAATTTATTTTTTAAAAATTATTTTAATAATTTTATTTAATAATCTTTTTATATTTTATGATTTAATCTATAAATTAAATAATAAGAATATATTATAAATAAATAAATTACACTAAACATAAATAAACAAATAAATTACATAAATAAAATTTTAATTTTTAACACAAACTACTATCTCATAAACAAAAAATAATAAAAACTTCAACACTCATTTTTATCCTCCTCATTCCTCATTCTCATGCAAAATATTTAAATATCTTATTTAGACAGCAATAATGTTTTAAAATCTGAATCATTATCAATTTATCATCTAATATTCATTGTCATAAAAGAAAATAAGATAGTAAGTTTTTATCTAAACTAAAATTACTAATTTGACAAGTAAATATTAAAACTATTAAAATATATAAAATAAGTAATATTATTGGTAACTAAATTATTAATTTAATATAATTAAATATATAAAATTATTAAATGAATTAAAATTATTAACTTTTTTTATCTATAGAGTTGGCTTGTCTTAGGTGTCAATTAAAATTCTACTATGCAAGTATACGTATCGAATAGACAGTATATTAGCAAGTAGAGCATCGATCCCACAGGGAATTGATCTAAAAGTTTACTAAGTACTAAAATTATCGCAAATTAATCTTATCCAAACAATATCAAAATAATATCAAATCAAACTAAGTTATAGCATAATTAAATTAAGAAAAATCAAAATAATAAATACTCAAATAAATATCAAATCAAACAAGCCTAGGATTACAATATCCCTCACACTTCATCTAAATCTTACCTCTCTTCCTTAACTTATCTCAATGGTTTGAATTGCTAACCTAGAGTCCTAAATTATTTATAAGGGTCTCCCGACTCATCTTATAAAAATATCTATTTTAACCAAAACACTATATCCCTATGTGAATTGAAATTAAAACAAACTCATTAAGTTCAGGCTCTAATCTGGCTACATATGCCCTATAGGTATATCCCTATCCTATACGCAAATCAATTAATATGATCATATGCTATCTCAATTTTAGTCTACACTAAACTCCCTTTCTCAAGTTTGTTTAGGTTTCTAGATCAATTTAATTGGTGGCCAAGCAATTAAAAGCATTAAGAACAAATTAGAATAAAACAATTCAAATCTCATTGAAAATAAGCAAGAAAGTGATTAAAAATCTAGATATACATGTGAGTTCAATTGCAATCCTAGAAAAATAAATTAGCTCATAATATCTAATAAAGACAGTATCCAAAAAAATTTAGCCATGAATCCAAGTCAAAGAAAATAAGAAAAAAACACAAAGATAAGAGAGAAAACTAATAGTTAGATATTTATGATCTTGATTCTCTCTCCAATTCTCTTGTTTCCTTGCTTTGTTCTTGGCTCCAAATCTCCAGAATAGTTGCTTGCTGCCTTCTCTCCAAAACCTCTGAAAAAAGCTCCTTAAATAGGCTCCAAATAACTTAATTTTTGAAATCCCGTTAATGTCCTTTATTTTTTTTTTGGAAAGTCGCACAGCGCTGCGGCGCTACTTCTCCAGCGCTGCAGCGCTGAGCTCTCTGGAATTTTGTATGTGTGCTTCCTTTCATCAACGCTGCAGCCTTGTTCGCCCAGCGCTGTGGCAGTCTATCAACTTCAAACGTGAGTTTCACCCTGATATGTTAAGAACTGGGCAAAGTAGTAAACATAAAAGTTTTATCCCTGTCTCTTAACTTTCCAATGGATCAAAAATCACATCAATTGGACTTCTGTATTGAAAGATTTGCTCCAAATACCGCATCATGTTCAGTCTTTACATACTGCTGCAGTGGTCCGATTTTGACAAATATTTTGACCATGATCCAATCAGAACTGGGCAAATTGGTGAACATAAACATTGTATCCCTTCTTCTTATAATTCTATTAGTCTAAGAATCACCTCATTTGGAGTTTTTTTAAAAGAGATATGGTCAAAATACTGAAACATATACGAATAAAGCTATCACCATATTTGCACTGATTTTCATCAAATGAGTCTTTTTCATCAATTTACTACAAAAGTCATAAGAGAAATTAGCAATAACTACTCTTAAAGTAATTTAAAATAAAATAACCTAAAATTTAACTAAAATAACTTAAATTAATCACTTAACAAGTAATCAAACTTAAACTAAAAAATACACCTAAAATGTTAAAATTCAAACCTAAAATCTCAAAGATCTAACTATTTAAGCTCCCAAAATGACTCAAAATAACTATATATAATAGAGTTATCACTAGGCCACTTAGCCTACTGATCAAATAAGTTGACCCATTTAAGTTCGATTTTAATATAAATTTAAATTTTCAAATCCAACTAACTGTATTTTTAATAATAAATGAATCGATTCAGTAGGTTCGGCCCATTTTAATAGATAGAGTCAACAACAATAAGCCCAAGCTATAGATCATAAATGGTGCATTTTCACCATATTAATCCTAAATAATTCAAATATCCTTTGACCTAACATCTTTTTTTTTTCCAATCTTTAGAGCCACCAATTAATCTCATAATTCAAACAATGGAAGTTTTATATGTTTTAGAATATTATTTTGTGATCAATTTTTTCATTTAAAAATAATTGAATGTTATATTCAAATATCATGGTGGGTGGTATGTTAATAAGAGAGTGACATAACGGAATTGTGACGTCTTTACTACTCTAAAAAAAAACCCCCACAAAAGTGAAAGCCCTCATGGTGAATTGAAAGTACAAACTAACTATAATACTATATGCTTAATTAAATCTTGTTTCATAAGTATTGGATGATAAGATTAATATTATTTGTGTGCAAAGAGAAATGGCCGACTGCCTCACCAAAGAATAAAGAATAAACCTCCTTGAATTGAACAGCTTACCCAAAATTTGTGGTCAAGCTCGAGCAGCAGCACCGCCACCTTTAATTCCACCGTTTGATCGGTGGATGATTTAAGACCTTGGTTTAAGATCCTACATTCGTGGCATGAACTTAGGGGGGCAAATGCTCATGAGTATGGTTGTCAATGATTATGATATTACCTTTTGAAAAGAATATCCAACTACTACTACCTTTTTTCAATGGAGTTTTAATTATGCTTTAGATGATGATCTAAGGAATTTCTATGGATTATTTGTATTATTAATGTTATGATATGAAATTATAATCTCTCTTTGTTGGGAGAGGTAAAATCTGTTCTTGTTGCACTTAGGATAAATTCTACTTATACATTTTATGATTTCAACTTTTGAACATAAAATATTATGTTTCTCTTTTCAATTAATACTATGTAAATATTTTTTCTCTCCATTAATATTCGACGAATGATTTATATTCTTATAAAGAATTAAGTTGTTAGTTTTTACTTATAAAAATTACAAAATTAATTTTAAATTGAGAGTGTTTTATTGAATTTATTACATAAAATTAAATATTTTAAATTTATACGTGAAAATTAAAGTTATTCATAAGGTGTTAATTGAAAAAAATGATATTTACATAATGTTAATTAAAAAATTATAAAATAACATGTGAAAAAAATTAAAATTTGAGAATGTAGGTAGAATTTATTTAAAAAAATAAATAAATGAAATTCTTGGTGATGGGTGATGAGACAGAGGCAAAAGGCTCAGTTAACTTGAACATCACAGGTTTTGAGTTCTGTTGTCAGCATGCTGCTGGTTTCGGCAGCAACCTTTTTCGAGCTCTGCCTTGGAACTCAAGCAATAATGTTGAATGCTCAATAAACACATGAAAAGGTTTCTGTAATAACTTGTCGTATTCATAATCTGATCTGGTTTTTAATGCACTCTTTAATATTTCAGAAACTCATAATAATCACATTAATGAAGTCATATTCACATATTTAGAGTTCAGTTTACTTTTCACCAACTTGGATTCTACGGCTTCCTGTGTCAGTAACATTCAAAATGGGATCTTTGAGACCATCTCCTATGGTCAATCACTGATTGTAATGAAGAAGCAGACGAGTAAGGCTTTTGTGTACTAACATTAGCTTAATCCTTCTCGTGTAGCTTGCAAAACAATGGCCACCTTTCTTAGATTTGGAAGCCCTTTGTTAGGTTCTCTGTTCTCGCTTTTGCAGGTCTAGCTGTTTCATTACTTTGCTTCTGGGGTCTTATCCTCTTTCACTTTTGCATTTTGCCCTACAGAGGCAGCCTCAAATAAAAGTCCAAAACTTTGTTGGCAATGAACCCATCATAAAGAAGTGGAAACATATTCAATTTCTTTCAATCAATTGTAGTACTAAACTGAAAAAAAAAAAACCCCTCATTTATTTCTGATAAAAATTTCTTCTACAAGAAAAAAAAAAAAAAACACATGTATGTTTCTAAGACTATAATCACTTGACTTACTTCCTCCAACATGGAGGACCCATCAAATAATTGGTAACGCGTGCATCCTTATAATTATATCACATCCAAAAGTATTCTCTTTGACTGCATTTTGCCTTTTGTTTTTTTTTTTTTGGGGTTTTTTTTTTAAAGATTTGCTTATTTAATTTCTTCCTTTTTCAGCATTTACCATGCCCAACATCGTGCTACATAGTGGGGTTGCTGTAACTCTGACAATCTATTAACATTTTCCTCGCAAGGAATTGGTCTTCGGCTCAAAATTCGACCCAATTCAAGAAAAGGCAAAACTAAGAACAAATGGAGTCGTAAGGCTTGACTTTTTCCCACGAAAATAAATTTTTATACTTAAATTATTCAAAGTTTATATTTAATGATATGTCAATATATAAATTTTATGCACTATTTATATTCATAAAATAATAATTTATATAAATTTTTATATACTAATAATATATTAAATATAAATTATTAAATTTTTTTATAATCTTGAAATCTGGCGTTTGGTACATCACCGCATTATTGTTGGCAGTTAATCTAACCGACAAACCGGCGCAGGACTCCTTTAGCCTTTATGCCTTTATCTTTCATAATTGCTTAGCGATGGTCCATCCTTCCTTCGATCCACAGCCAAAAAAGGTGATGAACTGATGATCCGCGATCTACGCCATTAAAAGTCGGGGCAATTTTGTCATTTAGATTTGATTTTGCATCGTGTTTTGTTTTTCAACTGTTTCTAGTCGATTCTTCTCCTGGTAACTTTCACAGCGGTGGTTATTGCAATATTTGGATTTATAGACAATTTTTTTAATTATTATTGTTGATGTCTATTTCCTCATTGTTTAAATAAAATTTTCATTTATTAAAAATATTTACTATAAAAACATTTAAATTGAGAAGAAACAAGTTAAAGTCACTAAGTTATCAATCCAAATGATAAATTTATCATTTTTTCATTATTTGATAATGATTAATTTATCATTCATTAATAAATTTTTATCATGCGAAACATAATTTTCTGATTCAGTTTAGAAAGTAAAAGTCGTATAAATAAATGTAAAAAAAATAATAAATGATGTTTTAATTAATAATATTTAATTAAAAAATAAAAAAGTAAACTTTATAATTAATCCTTATTAAGGTCAACATGCGAAGCTGGGACTTTTCAATCCTTAGGAAATCAAATCTATAGGGGAAGCGGCCAAATTTGGATGCACGTTGAAAGAATGTCATCTAGGTACTAATCTTTTATTTGTTAGTTGAGATTAGGGACCTAACATACTTCCCACCCACTCCTTAACAATTTTTTGGAAGTTAAGAAACCACTCAACAAGGGTTTTTCTTTCAACCTAAACCAAATTCTCCATTTTAATTATGATATTAAGGCTGAGGGTCAAATTCTATCATTTCTCATTTGCTACCAACGTTACTATTGTCCTTATAATTAAAATGGCAAGCCTATCTCTAGGAATTCCTTGTTTTCTTTTGCAATTACTTTGTCAAACATAGTCAACTGGGGAGCCTAGTACTTTTTTGGGTTTCATAATTTGCCACTACAAGATCTCAGTTCCCCACTCATAAATGCCAAATATTTAAATATTTTTAGGATTTAATTTTATAATTGAATAGATTTATTAGGATGAACATACACTATATAGTATGAAAGGATCAAAGCAGCTTAACAGCCCATTAAATATCGGAACTCCTCGAAAAGTAAAAACAAAAAGCAGAGAGAAATTTTATATTGGGTTGTTTAGTGATCTAACGGTAATAAAGTACCGATCGGACGGTGCGATGCTAAGCTAGCTGACAAATCCATAAAGACCACGTGGCGTGCGAGACACTGATGCCAATATCCCTTCTGGCACGTGTCTGCCCTTTCGGAAATCCACAACCAAAAAGCAAGGGTAAAACCGTCATTGAGTTACTCTCGCAGGCCATGATCCATGCCCCACCGCTGGTCCAAAACGCGCAAGGAAAGAGAAACTTCAAAAAACGTTGACGTCGCATCAGATTAGCAGGACCACGGGTCCCATTTCAAGAGCAAGAGGGAAACCGCTTATAACAGCTAAAAGAAGACGCTCCCTTTCACTTTCTCTTTCATTCCCTGCGATTTTTTATGTAATCGCCGGGTTTAACTGTTTCATCAAGCTCCGTACATCTCCGGTACGTTCTATTATTTTTCACCATTTTAACCCTTTTGTTGAATTTCACATTCTCCATTTTATCCTTCCAGTTTTCAACTTTATTCCACGCGTAAAGCAATAGCACCTTTTGATCTCGCTTCTATTTTTGCTCTTCCAAGTCACGTCTCTCTTCCTCTTCCATGAAGTTCGTAGCAGCTTTCATTTCACTGAAACTTTTTTTTTTCGTTTCTTTCTTTTTTTTTTCCTTTAAATAAATTAAAGGAAGGAATTTAATTTAGATTATGCTCAAGCTTAAGGTCAGCTTGACAAGTGGATTTTGTTTTCGTACGTGAGGCAGTTGTAAATTTTTTTTCGGTGTTTTTAATCTCTGAAATTAACCGTTATATATTTTTTTAACTAAGCACTAACGTTTAAAAATCAATGAAACTCGGAGGCTTACGTTAAAATGCCCCTATTTTATGTGTTCTTCGAATCAAGCTTAGTTGTCTTTTCAAACGGTGTTTAGATTTTATTCGGTTTGGTGTTTGCAGTGCTCGAGTTTCGAGGAGGAAGAGTACGGCTAGCGGTTTCCCTTTCAGATCAGAGCACAATGGAGGGAAAACGACAGGGTTTTGGTACTAAAGTAGATACTCTTGGTTCTTTTAACTGAACCGCCATTCTGCGATTTGAGGTATGAAAAAAAAGGAAGTAAAGTTAAGATTTTTGTTGCTTGGCATTTAAGCAAAGTTGGTGTCTTGGTGACAACTAGGGAAAGTTTTCTTTCTTTTTTTTTTCCCCTTTAAAAAATGATTATTTTTGGGGGTTGAAGTCTTGAAGATTAGGGAGGGAGCTTTTCATCTTAACTACCAGCTTGATTGACATTTGTTTTTTATTTTCATTTTTTAAATGTTGTTTTTGGTTGATGTTTAACTTTAAACATCAAATCATTTTCAGGTTGGTTGGATAAGAGCTTATGATTAGCTCGTTGTTGCTGATATAACCCGTAATTAGTCTTTATACTCATGGATCATTTTCTTTAGTTAGTTGGCTTGATAATCATGATTAGCTTCTTGTTGCAGATACACTATGGTTGTGGATGGATGGGCCTAGGCCTACTATATCTTTGGCAGCCACAACAACCTTGTTGTTAACTTATAAACTGTCTTGCATTTTTAAGAAAGCAAGAGTGAGTGTGTGTGTATTTGACCTCTAGAGTTTGATTTTTTTCTCTTTTTGAGAATCTGCGTATTCATGGGCCTTTTTACGATTTAACGTGTGGTAGGGTGAGTAACAACAAAAGAGGAGCGTGAAAAATGGGGGCAATTGGTGGGGAAGAGTTAAAGAAGTTGGAGAGGGAGCAGAAGGGGCAAATGGTAGGTGCTCGTGAGGAGAGGATTCTGGTTGTGGTGAGGTTGAGGCCTTTGAGCGAGAAGGAAATTGTAGCAAATGAAGTTGCCGATTGGGAGTGCATCAATGACAGTACTGTCCTATATCGGAACACCCTCCGGGAAGGGTCCACATTCCCGTCTGCCTATCAATTTGGTGAGCAAATACCTGCGTTTTCCATGTTTTGGTTGTGATCTAATAAATTTGTTGCTTTAAACTAGTGATAACTGACTCTTAATTTCTTACTCAAACTTTCACTATGATATAGCTAAATGGATACTAAATTTCTCCTTTAAAGTGCCTGGCAAATTGAACCTAGGCCATCTTAATGATCGAGATCTCGTCAATTTTATATATAACCTACATTGTTGGCTTAAGTTTTTATAATGAGATTTAAAAGCGTCAAACTTCAAAATAGTTATTTCTGTTATGTGCTTGGGATTTGAAAGCAGTTTTGATAAGTAGAGTTTCATTGTATGTATCTCTATTTATGTTGCTGTCTTTTTTTTTCTTCCTTCTTATGCTGGGGACAGATAGAGTATTTCGAGGTGACTGCTCAACAAAGCAAGTGTATGAGGAAGGAGCCAAGGAGATTGCTCTTTCAGTTGTTAGTGGTATTAATTGTAAGTAGGGGTATTGGCATCTTGGTGCTTGTTCTCTGTTGATGAACTACTTGGTGAGGACAAAGCTTTCTCTAACAATTTTTCTTCCTTCTGTTCCCCAGCTAGTATTTTGGCATATGGACAAACTAGCAGTGGGAAGACATACACCATGACTGGAATAACCGAGAATACTGTTGCAGATATATTTGACTACATAAACAGAGTAATGAAAGTTTTGACTTGTTTTAGTTCCATCGTGTTTGCATTTCCATAACTATTACTTAAAGGCATTCTTTATGTAATACTGAGATCATCATTACAGCATGAAGAGAGAGCATTTGTATTGAAGTTCTCAGCAATTGAGATATACAATGAAGCTATTAGAGACCTCCTAAGCTCAGATAACACTCAACTTAGGCTCCGTGATGATCCTGAGGTGAATACCAACATCTAAATTAGTTTTCATTTTATCGAGTATATGGTTGCTCTAACAAGCTCTTTTCAGAGAGGAACCATTGTGGAAAAAGTCACAGAGGAGCTACTGAGGGACTGGAACCATTTGAAAGAACTCCTTGCAATCTGTGATGGTAAAGCATCATAAAGAGTTCTCTGTTTACTGGATGATGTTGCACCTCTATGTAATTTTATTAATATTTTAATACGTTGCACTGTTGCAGCTCAAAGAAGGATAGGAGAGACCTCCTTGAATGAGAGAAGCTCCAGATCTCATCAGATTATAAGATTGGTACGCTTCTCTTTTGTTGCTTGATCATTTAATTGCTAATAGCTTATGTGTAGTGATGTCGAGTTTTTTATTTTCTTTTTGAGCTTACCATGATGTGACTTCTAACTTTTGTAGACAATTGAAAGCTCTGCTCGTGAGTTCCTAGGAAAAGAAAATTCAACCACCCTTTCAGCAAGTGTGGTATGGCTCATGGAATTTACTTTACGTTTGCAGTTCACTTAACAAGTAGTTCTTCTCAAATGAAAATGGTATTTGAGTGCAGAATTTTGTTGATTTGGCTGGAAGTGAGCGAGCATCTCAGGCATCATCCACCGGGGCAAGACTGAAAGAGGGTTGCCATATAAATCGCAGTTTACTGACTCTGTCAACTGTTGTTCGCAAGCTAAGGTTGCCTGGATATATTTAGAGTGCTTTTTTTTTTTCAATCATCTGCGACAGATTGTTTAATATATTTAAATCTTTGGGCATAGGTGTGTGATTGTTTAAGTAGTTATTTATAGTGTTCAGTTTTTCAATTTTAAAAGGAAACAGAGAATTTGGGGCAAAGTTTTATGATGGTTTGCTTATTTAGACTCAGAGCTAAATTTTTCTCATTAATCTAATTTTTTAAATCACTATTTGCAATATTTTTTAGGGTTAGTTCCTTCAATCCGGTTTGTTAGTCTGTGTTAATTTCAGTAATATTTTACCACAAGATTGTGTCCAAATACAGAATTCTTTTATGATTTTAAAAAAGGCAATTTCTTGTTAAAATATCATCACCTACTAGATTGCTAAACTCATCAACGTGGTGCTGTGATGGATGCAGTAAAGGCAGACAAGGGCATATCAATTACAGAGATTCTAAGCTGACACGCATACTGCAGCCATGCTTGGGTGGCAATGCCAGGACTGCCATCATATGTACCTTGAGCCCTGCACGGAGCCATGTTGAACAAACCAGGAACACTCTTCTGTTTGCTTGTTGTGCAAAAGAAGTTACTACAAAAGCGCAGGTCAACGTGGTCATGTCTGATAAGGCCTTAGTTAAGCATTTACAAAGAGAGGTGGCCAGGTTAGAAAGTGAACTCAAGACTACTGCCCCTTCTCCTCCCTCAAGCGGTGACTATGCAGCATTGCTGAGAAAGAAAGATCTTCAGATTCAAAAGGTTATGATTTGCTTTCAAAACTCTTTTGCAAATATATTTGAACATGCCATTATGTGTACATGAACAAATATCATTTCTGTCACATATATATATTGTAGACATGCTTCCTGCAGTGTGATCCTTTAAGTTTTACTATAGTGGAAGTCATATGCATTGCACTTAGACCTGGCAATTTTAGACACAACACGTTAACACATGGGAAGACATGGAGTTAAACAAGGTTTGGGTTTAGCCTTAATGTGTTTCGTATCTAATTGGGTTTGACACTTTTAAGACACGAAAACACAAATTGCCTGGTCTAATTGCACTCAATAGTGACTGAAGGGATGCTGGGGTTTGACTTTTGAATGCATTTCTTCGTTCCTATCTATGATGAAAATAAAATAAAGTTTTTGTTCTTTTCATAAATTGCGTTACTTAACCATGTCTTTGGTATGCATTTGTGTCTTGGTGTTTATAGATTTTCACACTTCACTTGGTAGATAATTTAAGGACACTATTAAAAGTTCCAAATGTTCTTTCAGATCTCACATAAATCATTCCCTTTTGAAAATTAGGAAGGATGTTATGGGATCCTCTACATAGAGCATAGTTGATTGTTGGTTTTCCAAAAATAGATGGATTGACAGATTTGCAATATATGCAACTACTCCTCTGGTTCTAGTCTAGCATGATCCCATCGAACATACACCTGGTGGTGAATCATGCGTTCTGATGATAAAATTATCATGGGTGATATAAAATTGGATTCAGGATGGGTGAAATTTTGACTATAGCATGCAAATAGATGCTTTTGCTTGTGGAAGCTAGGCTGCAAGCAAACTGTTTTATCTTCTGATTAGAAAAGCCTGTTTCCTATGCACTATCACATCTGCGGTGGTTGACCTAACAATAGAAGTGAAAGCTTAGGCATTTGCATGTTCCTTGTTGCCTAATATTGATTACATGGCTTTGCATTCTGCAGATGGAGAAGGAGATTAGAGAGTTGACTAAGCAACGTGATCTTGCTCAATCTCGGATTGAGGATTTGCTGATGATGATTGGACATGATCAAGATTCAGGACAATCGGTATACGTTATTGTCTAAATTCTGTATCTTTACATGTTATGCTTTTTGTTGAATGTGGTCCTAATTGCTGTATTGTTCATTAAATTTTAATTGCTTAATTACTTTTTAATAGCTCCATTTTCAGCTGCTAACCCTTCTTTTCCTTTCTCTGATCAGGCAAGGATCAATTACCATCTCAATCAAAAAGCAGGGGATGCTTGGGATGATGACTATTCAGCATCAGAGTCATCTTGTTTGGCCGATTCTAAACGATTGGATGTGCAAGTTCGAAAATTTAATTCAATCCATTGTGACGACACAGAGAGTGGGAGTAGTCTTGCAGAGCCCTATCATGAGCCTCTGAACAATCATGAAGATCATTCAATGTCTGATGTTACCTCCTCACCTCTGTCAATTGGAAAGAAGCTTGCTAGATCGGATTCTGGGCGAAGTCTAGATGAGACTCCAGGTGAAACTGCAGATGATGAATACTGCAAAGAAGTTCAATGTATTGAGACAGAAGAATCAGGCAGGGATAATAATTATGAATCTCGAGTCTTACAAAATGGTGAAAGTGAAGGAACATTGGCATTGACACTGTATGGAGATGGAGATGTGGCAGGCGAGGAAACAATGTCTACCCCAATGAACGGAGGTAGAGAAACAAATCATATTCAAAATGGTTTTACATATGATGCATTGGAGCAGAGACTCCATCATGTACAGAAGACAATTGATTCTCTTGTCCCAGATGCCCAGGTAGCAGATTTGTCGAGTTCTAGAAGCCTGAAGTTGAGTAGGAGCTGGAGTTGTAGGGCAGAAGTCATGGGTGGTACATCTTTTCCTTATGCTGACAGAGAACATATTGAAAGCACCCCACCCAATGGGTTGGAGAAAAACTTTCCTGGAAGACCAGAAGGTTGCGGAAAGAAGTTTCCTTCATTAAATTATGGTGCCAATAATGGAGTGCTTTCCAGGAATAATTCTCAGTCCTCGCTTGGGTGTGCTTCTATCAAGACTTCTGCAGATGAGGATATTACTAGCATTCATACTTTTGTTGCAGGACTGAAGAAGCAACTTGCCAATGGTCAGGTGAGAATATGCCTATTATTTTCCCTTCCATGTCTGGGGAACTTTAAAATGTGAAATTGGGCATGTGTCATGAAATTTGATTTCTTTGAAAATGTTTTGATACACTCATCCTAGGTTCAGGGCACGGGGCTACAAGCAGATGAGTCTGGAAAGGGTATGAAAGATGTAGGACTGGATCCAGTGCATGAAGCATTCGGCACCCCTCTGGATTGGCCCCTGGAATTTGAGAGGCAGCAGAGAGCAATACTTGAACTTTGGCAAGCTTGCAATGTTTCCTTGGTTCACAGAACATATTTCTTCCTGCTCTTTAAAGGTGATCCAACTGATTCCATATACATGGAGGTAGAGCTTAGGAGACTTACCTTCCTCAAGGAGACATTTTCTCAAGGAAATCAAGCTGTGGAAGATGGTCGGACTCTCACACTCGCATCAAGGTTCTCTCTTTCTGTCTCTTGCTAGCATCAAGAGTCTAATGGACTTTGAAGAGTGATGTGTTCAAACACACAACTTATTATCACATTCCTTCTTTGAACACGGTACATATATATCTCAGTCTAGAAACTGTCAACAGAGCAGAGTTCTCTTCTCTGAAACCTAATGACCTCCATGAGGTTTCAGTATCTAGTGTTGGATACCTGATGTTGCATATCCGTGAAGTATGCTTTAGTGCTTGTCTTAGTATTTATACTTTGGACATGGTAATTGGGAGTATCCCAACCAACCATTAGTGAAAATCAAGAAAAATGCACTACAGCCTTAGTAAATGTTTGAAGTTTTTTTCTTTACATTGTGACATGGATGCTATTTTATGTATACTTTCCTGGAACATATATATATATATATATATATATATATATATATAATCCTTGCATATAATTTCTACTTAAATCAACTTGTCTTAATCTGTTAACTTGTTGATGCAGTGTGAGAGATCTTCGCCGTGAGAGACAAATGTTGAGCAAGCTGATGCGTAAAAGGTTTTCAGAAGAAGAGAGACAGAAACTGTATCACAAATGGGGCATCGAGTTGAACTCGAAGCAGAGAAGGCTCCAGCTGGTCAACCAGTTGTGGAGCAATAACAAGGATATGAATCATGTCACAGAGAGCGCTGCTATTGTTGCAAAGCTGATTAGGTTTGTAGAGCAGGGGCGGGCCCTCAAAGAAATGTTTGGGCTTAGCTTTACTCCTCCGCGCCCAAGGCGGAGATCCTACGGTTGGAAAAACAGCATGGCGTCCCTTTTGTGAGCTTTGTTTATGCCTATATAAACACACGTATACAGCGTAGAGGTAATTTCACGAAAATTATAGGCCATATAGCATTCTTTTTGCGATTGAAACTGTAACGGATTGTGATGACCATCGTAGAGTGGTAAAAAATGTAAATCTTAACCTGGAACGGTTTAGAGGCCAAGCTGGGATTGATGAAATTGCTTTCTGGTTTCCCATGTGTCTCTTTACACTCGTGATAGTCTGTATTAATATCTAGGTGAACTTGGATCAAGTGGCACGGATTTTGCAAATGTGGCTTTCTGGATTTGCTGTTAGCCTGTTAGGCTTGTTACCAATTAATGAATAGGATTTGCTTTCTTCTTCTCCTCTGTCTCCCCTTTCCTTCCGGCTGATAGCTTTGGGCTTTAACAACTCCTTATTGCAATGATGAAGGCTGTAATCTGATGCCCTTCTCCGCCGTATTTCTTGAAGCGAACAGAGTGTATCGCTAGCTGCCTAAGCTTTGTTAATTATCAGTTGGATTTTATTCAGTATTTCAAGTATTGAAGAGCTATTAATAATTAATTTAAGTAGATGATTCAAATGTAACTTTATGAAGCTTGGTAAGTATCAAGTTGCACCAACCATCGTACTTTTTTTATTAATTAAATACATACATCATTAAGTACCAAATTGATTTAGATTATATTCGCGAATGTGATAAACTAACCTAATGCAATTTCTTTATATAAAATTTTTAGGTTATTTATGTATGTAGCATTTATTTTTGTGAAGTATAAGCTAAATTTCATGTTAATCAAAGTTAAAAAGTTTAACTTTATTAGTAGGTAATAACAATATCACAAAATCATTATTTTTTTTAAAAGATTAATTTAATAAAATGTACAGTATTCACGTTTATAAGTTTTTTACTATTTTTACATATTTGATAATCGTTGTCAATCACCTTACTCATCACTTTTTGAAAGTATTTAACTTTAATCAGATTAAAGTTAAATTCGTTTTGATATTACTTTGACACAATCAATATCTTTTCTTCAAAAAAATTAATCTAACTTATAAAATTTTCAGAATTTTGGACATAAGATTGAATGCAAAAAAAAAAAAGATGGATGACATATTTTTCCTTTCATAAAATCCACTCTATTGTTTTCATTTAAAAGTTTATTTTTCCTGTAAATTATCAACAATGTCTAAACACCTTCATTTAAAAGGTTAAACGCTGCGTTGAAAGACACCCATGATAGATACGTCGTCGTTTCAATTATTGATCGGTCCGTCTACAGTCAAAGATCAACTCTTCCCAACCTTGAAGCGGAGAGGGAAGAATTTGAGACAGAAGAGTCTAGAGAAAGCAAAAGCAACCGAAATGAGCGGAGCCACGACGGCGGCGTACTTAGCTCGAAGAGCAGCGCAAAAAGAGAGGGTTCGGATCCTCTATCGTCGCGCCCTCAAAGACACACTCAACTGGGCCGTTCATCGCCACCTCTTCTATCAAGATGTAAATCCTTATTTTTCAATCTCCCAAGATCTCATCAGTTCACACTCTTTGTTTTTCCCCTTTCCAAATATTCAATCTTTGATTTTTTTTTTAATTTTAGGCGTCTGACCTTCGGGAGAAATTCGAAGCCAACAAGCGTGTGGTTCGTCTTCCTCATTTCTCATATTCACATTGTCTCGTCGTCTTAATTTTTGGTTAACAAATTTTATTAATATATTAGTTAATTAACTTGAAATTTGAATGAAGATTTGTTTAGTCTTCAAATTTTCTTTTTACTGTAATTTGAAGTAAATTCTTTTTGTTTTTTTTTTTTTGGGGGAGGGCTCCTATGTTAGTTTTTATGATGATAATTTGAGCTCATTGGCATCCTGCATTGAACTTAAGGATTCATATAAATGGTGATTATTGTAGTCATCGAAATGTTTGGTTTTTGATGCTGCATTATACACTTTGGTGGGTTTTTGCAGGAAGATCTTGACACAATTGACAGAATGATAGCTGATGGTGAAGCAAGTTACAATAAGTGGCGGCACCCTGATCCTTATATTGGTAAGTACTGTTATAGTTGGTTGGTGGTTTTCCAAGAGAGTCTCAGTTTGAATTAATGGAATATGAAAAGTTTTTTCTGCTGATGTGTAGACTTGACTTGAAGAGACATGCATACTGCATTTGGGGATACCTAGGTTCTTTTGAACTTTATTTTTTGAAACAATTGAGAGGAAACTAGCCCAAAACTATGAAAACAGAATGAATTCTTATTGACAACTCTTACTTAGGACTCCGTTGATAGTTCCAGGATTTTGATTACCAGTGAACTTTAGTCAAATGTGAAAAACAAGATACATGAGAGCCAAGGCTTGCAGATATAGGTGAGGAGAAATGCTACCACACTATTTTTTGGCCGCTTCTCCTCTCATTTCTTGAGGCATCTCTTTTCCACTTGTAAATCTTGTATCCGCTAACCAATGGCTTGTTATTCTTGGCATGCTTTTGTACATTTTGATCTGTTCCTCCTCCATCTTAAGGAAATGTTTAGCATTTGAGCTTCTTACCCAGTGCACCATATCTTTTAGCAATACTTCTGGAAAAGTGATGACACTATAGTTGGTTGCTCGATGTTGTTAAGGTATCCTCATAGCTATTCCCATGATCTCATAAATGTATAGATAAGTTCATTAACATGAAAAGAAATATGTTTTTCTTGATGCAAATGTTCATTTAAAATTTATTTGTTATGCATAATGTCCACACTGCTTAGATCTTGCTCTTGCTATGGCATGTGGATTTAATTATTTCATTTGATTGCTTGACTGTGAAAATATAGCTAGGTTTCTTCTGAAGTGCTTATTTGCAGTTTTAAACCTAATATGCAGTTTGAAGCTCACATAATATTCCACTTGCAGTTCCTTGGGCTCCTGGTGGTTCCAAGTTTACTCGAAACCCTGTTCCACCATCTGGGGTAATTGTTAATGATTCACTTGCTAATCATTATGTTCTTTCTCATATTTCACATGTTACTTCACTTATCCACAATTCTTGTTGCATGTAGTGCATTTCTTTTCATTGAAGTATTCAAGTGTCTAAACCTTTCTATGGTAACTGACCTTTCTTGCATGAGAGTAGACATGTGCTCTATTTGTTCATATTTCTCCTTCTGTATTGTTCACATTGTTTCCAAATTCTAGTATTTTGGCCAGAAAATTTGGGATTGCTCCATTCCTTGCTGTTCTGCCATTTCCCTTCTTTATAGTTATCCATTAAACTGCAGACTAGAAGAAGAAAAGTAACTAAAGTGGCCTGCTTGCTTGTCTTTCACAGTTACTTTTAGTGGGTAGTAAGGCTCCTTATTGCCACTACGCTTGTACAAATCTTTGTCTTTTTAAGATTTTGGTTTTTGTCTTTACCTTGTTAAGTGTCGAAACTTGATTTAGATTGTTTCAGGAAGTAGGATGAAAGGAAAAGGGGAAGTCATCTTGTCCAATAATGGGCTTGAAATATCCAAATATTAATGTGCTGTGTTGCTTCTTGTTGATTTATGTTGTTGCTTACCTAGCATATGTAGATATCTTTGGTGCTGTCAGCTTCTATCACCAAATTTCTGATTTTTCATTCTTGATGCAGATTGAGATTGTTTATGATTATGGTCGAGAAGACAATGACTAAAACATGCATCTTTTCTGTCCCAATAAATAAAGGTTAGTCATATAATTTGTTATTTAGATTTACACAATTGATTGTATGATTTCGTAATTATAGTTTGGTGATAGCTTTTGTCTCAAATGGTTGACTACAGGTTGGAAGCACTTTCCTTCAAGTTTAGCTGCAAAAATCTCTTGGATTTATATTAAAAACAGTACATTCTTGTTTCAATATCTTAGAATATGCATGCTAAGAAAGGAGCTTGTGCACCTAAAGAGAGTGGTGTAAGCATGACAATGTGCAAGTTTAGAAAAGTAGCATGGCTAGGGTTTGAAATCAAGTAATTTGAAAGTAGGAAAAAAATATTTTCGATTTGAAATGGAAAAGATTTTTGTGATATATTTTCCTGAAATTATTCTAGTTTATCGAGGAAGTAATTAATGTGTTCTTTTGTCACCTGGAACCGAATTTATAGGGCTGTGTGACATGTTTTTTCCGCAAATTTCAATTATGTTTGCAAAGGGTGCCAATCCTTCCCTACGCATCCTCTCTGATGAGACAATTCTATGAAGAATCGCATATATAGTGATTAAATGGGTCTCTCTCCTGCTCTTCCCATTTGGTTATTTCTTTAGTGTCTGAATTTTTAATTTTCCTTTGATGCAGGTCTAGAGGATCCTTTTGAGTGTAATGTGGGATCAAGGGCAGCATCTACTTTGCATTTATTCAAGTGAAAGCAAATGAAAGCTTTAATAACATTCATGTGGATGTTCCTTTGTTTCTATTGCTTTGTGTCTGGGTTTCTGTATAAGATCTTTGCTCAGATTGAAAGGTATCAAATGCTTGTTGAGGCATAGAAGTACGATGATCATGATGAATTCTTCAAAATATTTTTATGCATCTTTTCATCTTCAGGGCTTCCGTGGGTATTTTATTTAATTGGCAATGGGGCCATTGGGAAACATTTGGATCAAGGATGCCTTGATTCTTTTGAAGTTAATTAAATTTGGAACGATGTACACCATGTCAGATGGGACAGAACGTCCCTGTAGGCCATAGAACAAAACAATACAACACGCAATATTCCCTTCACACTGATGTGGTAAACACCATAAATGTTTAAGGAAGGTAATAAAAACATGTTTGCATATTTTGCAATCAGGTGGGTCACAGTAATTGCGACAGGCAGATATGAACTTGACATGACAAATCCTGGGCTGGAACTCGTATGCCCATTACCATATAACCTTCATACTCTATCCCCCCCTTATTGAAAATGACATTTTTGCAAGTCATTGCCACAGGCATTAGCAAACAAAAACGATGGAAAGCGACTCTGATTTTGACGTCCATGGTTGATTCCCAGAATTGGGTTTTACAAGGAAACCAAGTTTCCCATTTGCAAAGCTCCTCCGTCTCATTTTGTCAACTGAGATGGATGATGACAAGGTGAGGACGAGGATGAAGAAGATGAAACGCAGATATGCTACTGCTACACCTGCATTGCTGCGTGCAATTGGCTTTTTGGGTACAATGGTTTTGCTGTTATGGACCATCTGCTGCGGGTTTCAACTGACAATGGAACCATGGCTATACACTGCCGTGGCTGCCCGGGCTTTCCATGTTGGAGTCACTACGATGGTCTTCGGCTTCTTGTTTCTGATACTCGGGCTTTCCATTCTGGCAGGCATGGTTTTGGACATATCAGAACATTTGCCCAAGCTATCAGGCACACGCCAAGGTATATACATATAAACAACGGCACTTTAACGCTTTTATTTTTTGTTTGTTTCACTTTTATGGTCTTGCTTCGATGCATTACACCCAAAGCCGGATCAGATTTCAGCTCTCTAGGCAGTCTGGCTTTGAGACACATATCTTATAATGGAAGAAAATACTACAGAACTTGATAATTTCGAGGATGAATTGAAAATATAAACAACCAAATTTAGGGGAAAATTGCTGGGGGTATTCAATGGCCAAAATTTCCAAAGGTTAAATCAGGTTGATGGGAGTCAACTATGGAAGAAAGGAGGACCTGGGTTTTAATTGGATAGATATACCTAATTAAAAGTACCTCTAAGCAATAGGATAAGAGAGAGAGAGAAGCCATGCCAAGAAAGCTTTGCAAGCTTCTTTTACCAGCAGTTCCATCTCCACCTTAATTGCTTTAATTGCCTACTTACTCCCTTTCTCTCTCCCATGAAACAGGCCAGGAGACAAGGACGATCTCCAAAGCTATTGCCAAGGCCCTCATGACCGTAATCACAACGCTCATAATCATGTGGGCGATGTATACTGGATTTAGGCTGGCAACTGAATCAGAAGACAGCAAGCATTATCTCCTCACGGTTTCAATTGGAGTCACCACTATTTTATTTGGCTTAATTTATTTCGTCATTGGACTCGCCATTGTTTTGGGGGTTGCACTAGATTTTTGGACCCGTTCACAACAGAAAGAGAAACAGGAGACCAGCTTTCATCACTGTTGCAACGCAGATGCAAAGTGTTTTCCTTGACATTACTGTTACTTGTCCTACCTTTTTCTCGTGGTAATACTGAGATTAATGGAGAATTGAGCCACTGGAACCTTGAGCTCTGAAGGAGATGCTTGTTCCTGCTGACTTGACACTTTCTTCACCAGACATTCAAACATACAAGCAAAGGTTGAAGATAAGAAAAAAATGTTTTGGAAGCATGGATAGGAAATTCCTCTTATTAGCGCAAAGGATTGTCAATACACCAATGATCTCTCATCTCTTCTTTTGTTTTAGATTCAGCAGGTGCCCTTTCATCCTGTGAAACAAATAACATCTATATCCCTGTAGATTTGATCTGTACAGAGCCATATTCAGGCATCACATCCTATTCCAAAATCTGAATACAACTAAAGTTAACTTTTAAGTGAGATATCTTCCCTGGTCAATTATTTGATTATGCAAGGCCATGCTTTATATTAACACTATCTGATACTGCATGAGAAACCAACTAAGACCAAGGCCATGCTTTACTATCTAATACTGCATACGAAACCAACTAAGACCCTTGACATTGAATTCATATCCTTCCTTTGTGAATTCCAACATCCTTATCAGATTTCAATTATTGAGCCATAACCTTTTTTTTTCTCCTAAAAGGCTCAAAACCATGAATCAAGCATTGATATGAAGCTAACCAAACCAAGTTTTAGGTCCACTTCAGCTTCAGATTTTAAGTCCAGAATTACTAAACCATAAAAATCATCTCCCTCATAAATTCCAGTTCTAACACGAGCAGCATGTCTGCCGGAATAGAAAAGCATTAATTCTAGATTGCTATCTATCTATTCAGGGTTTGTTCAACCATTCTAAACCCGCATCTTCAAAAGACTGCCGATGAAAAAGCCTTGTTTACTCTTACCATCTATGTTTAAGTATTAGATTAGCATAAATAACATGTTCTGCTTCCTTAACCCAGTAACAACTGTTGCATTTTCAATTATGGTTTTCTCTTCTCTTAAGCAAAGATTGAAGGCATGGGGGACTTTCAAATGGCAACCATTGACAGCAGTCAGCAGGTTCTTCACTTCTAAATACTCCACTCTATTCTAGATATAATACCTTTTAACAAGGAAAATGATGATCTAAAAAGATAAACTTTGAAATTAATACACAGTAACATTTAAATAAACAAGAACCCTTACCTAAACTTAAACCCCAGAAAAATAAAGTAACTCATCAGATCAAACAGCCACAAAATTGTACAAATTCTGCTCATGAGTCATAACCATTAACACTTATTTTTAGCTTCATTACTACAGTTCTTACAAAAGAGACACAGAGAGAACATGAGAACAAAGAAAGAAAAAGAAAAATTAGATGAGCTTGAAGGGGAGAGGCCAAGGAGTAGACCTGGGAACCTCGACTTTATCCTTGATACGCTCTATCATCTTCTCCTTTTTCGGTCTAGCGTTCCCATATGACCCTTTGAATCTCTTCCCCTTCTTTGTCTTCTTGTCGCCTCTGCCGCACAGGATCGGCGCTCCCGCCGCTACCCCACTCGTCGAGGCAGATGTTAGCGGAGGCCGCTGCAACGTCATCACTCTTCTTGCTACTGCGCCGCACCATTGCATCATCGCCATTTTCTTGCCCGCTCACAATTTCTCACTTACCAGACCACTGAGAGGGGCTAGCGATAGAAGCCTAGAATCATTTATTCGTTAATTGGACTTGTTGTTTCTTTTGAATTTGATAAAATGGGCTCGCTATGAACCGAGACTGGGTCCAAATATGTCCCATTGGTCCAAAGTTTCGGTTTTTGGACCAATGGGAATAAAATAAGATTTTTAATGATATTTATCCGGGTGGAGACCAGTAATTAGAATGAAATCGTCTGTCCGGTTTGGCTTAGTCGAGTGCCAGAGTCCACTCCAGGAAACGGGTGAAGGAGATGGCGTTTGGTTTGGTGTGGCTCCCAATTAAACACGACCTATCGTTTTTTGTTTAACTCTTCAACATACAAAAATGCATACTTTATCAAACCAAGAAACTAGCATTGCATGAAATAGTTTTTCTTTTCAGCTAACAGCCTAAGAGGGACAGGTTCCTTGGCAAAGAAAACCCATGAAAATGGAGGTGTTCTGCAGTCCCACTTCTCTTTCATGGACTCACTTCATCTCTCCTTCTCTTCACATCCCTCACTCTTTCTCTGTAAGTTCAGACTACTATCAAATCCACCACTTTTCCCCCTCTTCTAACATACATTGGTTTTTCTTTGAAGTGGTAATTCTTTTTATTTTTGGTTGTGTTCTTTTAGGTGGGTGAGACTAATAAATTCAGGGTTTTTTGTGGTGCTGCTCAGTCCCAGAAGGTTTGTTCTAACAAATTCTCACTTTTGTTAAATTGAAAGCAACCTTTTCATTTTTGTCTCCCAAGATTTGGGAACTACTATTATATTTCAAGGTCCACAAATGTGATACGGCTTCATGCTCATATTGGGTGTTGTGAATTTGTCACGTTGGATCAATTAGGTTCCTTGGAGATTTTGTTGACTCTTTGTAGGTTGTTTTAGGCAAACCAGATGACAGTATCAGTGACAGGAGCTACTGGTTTTATAGGTAAAAGATTGGTTCAAAGACTGCATGCAGGTAACTATAATTATAATTGAAGATTTCAATGTTGTTTGATTTGTTTCTGATCTTTTAGCCACAACTTAACTTTAATATAATTGAAATGCAGACAATCATAATGTTCGTGTCTTGACACGCTCAAGATCCAAAGCAGAGTCAATATTTTCGGGTAAGAAGGTAATAAGTACCTTTGGTTTTGCTCTACATTGCTTTCTACATGCGGAAGTTAATAAAACTTTTATTGCCAGAAAAGGGTGAACTTTTACATACAGATGTCTACATGCACATAACACGCATGCATAGACATACATGTTCTTACATGTCATTTCATTATACCTTGTAGCTGCACCTCTTTACCCTTAATTCTTTGTTCTCCTGTCATTTGCAGTCAAGGACTTTCCAGGAATCATAATTGCAGAGGAGGCAGGGTGGAAGGATTGCATTGAAGGATCAAATGCTGTTGTAAATTTGGCTGGAATGCCCATAAGCACAAGATGGTCTCCTGAGGTTGGTATTGGAAGATCTTTCATCCTGGTTTTCATATATGTTGCTAGATAGACATAAGCTTTTAGCACAATAGGAAACTAGCTCTGTCCAATGTATGGTTTGCTATCATACCCTCCTGCTTAGGTCCCACTTCTTGAGACCTAGATTTCATATAATTTGGTTTTCTGTTCTTGTCAAAGGTTTCAGACAATCCAAGCATACAAAATTCTCAGCCTGATGCACACACACACTCACTGGTTTGATGGATGGTATCTGCTAAGTGATGCTACGGATGTTGACATTTCTTCACTCTTTAACAACTCTTAGATTAAGCATCAATGGCACTTTCTAGTTTCTAGCAATTAGGTCTCTGTCAACTTCACTGTTAAAGTTCATATGCCTGCATCTTCTCATACATCCTTGCATGCTGGATAAATCCATTGTTCTTTTTATGTATTGCAGATTAAAAAGGAAATTAAGCAAAGCAGGGTCAGAGTCACTACTAAGGTTAGTCTTTAGCATGTTCATCGTCACTCTCTGCATGCTGGAAGCACTTGAAAGATCATTTTTTTCCTTTTAAACAATGACATTCTACAACCTCTTAACTGTTTTTTCACTGCCCATTTTTGCTGAATTTGAAGGTTGTAGATTTGATAAATAATTCACCTCAAGGAGTTCGGCCTACTGTGTTGGTTAATGCAACAGCTGTTGGTTATTATGGTTTGTATCTGGAAAAATTTACTACTTTTTTTCCTCTATACTATCATGAAACATTGATCTAGGATGGCCAACTTTTTCATTGCTTTGATAAGGTTTTTAAGAAGTTAAACACAGTCCAGTTGCTGCATGAGAAATTAAGTGCTGCTTACTTTTAACTGCAGCTGGGCTCCTCTAATATGCTTAATTTCTTTTGTTTCTCTTTCCTGGATGCTCAGGCACAAGTGAAACACAAGTATTTGATGAGAGCAGTCCCTCTGGAAATGATTACTTAGCTCAGGTAAGAAAGGAATGTTTACTTACCTGAGCATTGTTCTTGCCTTTTACTAATGCAATTTATTTGCTCAGGTTTGTAGGGAATGGGAAGGAACAGCGCTTAAAGTAAGTAAGGATGTGAGATTGACTCTTATTCGCATTGGAGTGGTACTTGGAAAAGATGGTGGTGCTCTAGGTATAACTGATGTTCTTCTCTCTCTATCTCTTTCAACCCCACACACGTTGTTTATAGGTAAATTCAAAAGGGAGTCTCAGCCAATCTAGATAGTCTTATTTACTTATTAGTAAAACCAAGATATGATTTCCCAACAAACTCAAAGGCATTGGTGTCTTTTAACTGGGCCCAATGAAAGGATGGTTTATGCATTCAGCTGGTTACCTTAGAAAGTTTTTCTTTTCAGCTGCATAGGTTGATAAAATCTTTAAGAACAACAAAACATGCATATTCTTTCTTTGTTATTTAAGAGTATGTTGATATTCAGTTTCATCAACTTTAAGAAATTAGAAACAAGTGCCTTTCAATCTTACATCTTTGAGCCTTCGCAGCTAAAATGATCCCCCTCTTCATGATGTTTGCTGGAGGACCTTTGGGCTCGGGACAGCAATGGTATGCTATCATCTGAAAGGAATAACTTATTCATGTTTGACATATGTATGCTGCTAAGGCACCATTAAATCAGCATTTCTGAAGAAAAGTTTTCATCAATTTGCTATTAAAATGCTTATACTTCTGATCTTGTAACGGCTACTATACGAACCTTTCAAGGATGTCGAATAATTGTTGAAATTGGCTTGTTGATTTATTTCCTTCTGCTCATATTGCTTTTTCGTGTCAACATGTTGATCATGTTTCTTCTTGATAGGTTTTCCTGGATTCACTTGGATGACATAGTGAACCTGATATGTGAAGTTTTATCCAATCCATCTTATGAAGGTAATCTTCTATGCATGAATGTACTTAATTTGAAAATTCCCAAGACAAAATCAGGCTGACTAATCATTGATATAGAAGCAAAACTGAATTGAAATTGACTTAATGCTTTGTTGTATCATGCTATTAGCGTATTACCGCATGGTATCAGCTAGATCATGATTCTTGTTCTGTCCTCCCTGATATTTTTCCATTTAAGAGTGTATTTTTTATGCTCGTTCACTTTGCTGTTATGTTATTATGAGAATGGTTGTGGTTCATCATCCCGCTTTAATTGCCTAAACGTCAGGAGTTATAAATGGCACTGCACCAAACCCCGTCCGATTGTCAGAGATGTGTGAGCATTTGGGAAATGTCATGGGCCGACCGTCATGGCTTCCTGTGCCAGACTTTGCCCTCAAAGCAGTATTAGGGGAAGGTGCTTCAGTGGTAGGTGTTTTTTTGTTTAATTCTTTTTGTTCTTCTGTTTCCTTCTTGTTGTGATCTCTCTAACTACATTCATCCAAAACACTTCTAATTGGGTTTATTGCAGGTTCTGGAGGGGCAAAGGGTGCTTCCTGCAAAAGCCAAGGAGTTGGGTTTCCTATTCAAGTACCCTTATGTGAAGGATGCACTTAAATCCATTCTTTCCCAGGACTAGAAGATATGACAGGCGTATGCTTGCATTGTATTCTTTATTTTTTGATAGAGGGTTTGAGGATTCTCCCAACACCAGAGGATCAGAGTTAAAATTCTAATAATGGAGAGAGATTGTGATTTACTGTATGTCATTCCCTTTGTTTCCCTAGATTGTATTTTCTAGCAAACAATCCTTCAAAAGCAAGAGCTGTGTCGTATGGCAGCATAATTGTATGTGCCTGTAAATCCCTTCCTTAACATCTATTGCTCCCCTGTTTAATATTTATGTTGCTCTGTTTCGCAACAATCTCCTAGTAACTACCAGCTGCTGACCACATAAGAGCACTTTTTACCTCTAACGCCCCGCTTGGTTCCACCCCGGAACTGTGGGTTCGGAGTGCTAGGGCTCTAAAACTGCTATTAACAGCCCCCCACCCCCTAATTCTAAAAGACTTAACAAGTACAAAGGCTACCCGCACCATGGATCTTAATATGGAACAATCATAATCAGCAGCTGAGGTGGTAGTAAAATTGCATGGGGCAAGAACTTACTTTTCTTCCTAAACACCCAAGGATATGAGAAACTCGAGCAGCAGGCAGCAGCACTGCACCAGCACGGCTAATCTTTTCCACTTAACCTGCCTTTTTCTACCAAACCAGAACGCATCCCACCCACATATTTTTCATACTTGTACTTCACACATCCATTTGGTGGTATACCACTGCAGTTAGATCCTCAAATTCAAGAAATCAACAGAATGCTAAATAAAGATGCAAAGGGCTTACAGGCAATAAATACAAGTGCAAACAATAGCAGGTCAAATTTTTGAGATTCTCTTTCTTTTCTTTGAACAGGTACTCTTCAGATTCACCACAGAATGGAATATAAGTTTGGCCCTCCCTTCTTCATTTTGACATGCGAACCCACAGTTCAATCATTTGATAATACAACATCCCAGATGAACATATAATTCTGTTGCCTTCCTCTATCAACAAAGGGCCAGTAAACATAACAAATTAATTAACCCTTTAATGAGTACTTTCTCCCTGTAAATGGCTGAAACTTAGGATCTTCTTTCTCTTGAGACTGCTCCTGTTTCGATTCTTTTCCAGATTCCTGCAAAATCAAAGAAACAATCATCTAACATCTTCATTTTTTTCATGAAGGTGAATATCATAGGCTAGGTAATCATAAACAACTTAATGAAAGGAAGAGTGTAAAAATACAATGTACCTGTTTTGTTTCCTTAGGACGGCTTGATCCAAATACAAGCTTGCCCTGAGCCTGGCGTGAAATACTTTGTGAACTAGATCGTGAAGATGGTTGGCTGTTGTTCCCATTGGAAACAGCAGGTCCCTTGTCTTTGGACTCTGAGGAAGAAACTGGTGGAGGCTGTTGCTTCAGAGGCTTCCCATCCAAGCGTCTTCCTGCACCAGTAAAGGGGCTGAATCTTGGTTCAGGCTCAGCAGGAGCTTCTTCAACTGAAAGAACAAAGATTGTTTTCCTTAGTACACAGAATATAAACCATCACAAAAATCTATATGAACTTCAGTGCACTAACCTACAGAGATCCATAAATTATATTAATAAGAATTAAGTAGACTACAACAAGATGAGAAAATATCCCAACTAAGCATAGTTGTAGAAACATTCAAATTTCTTAAAATTGTAACTAAAAAGTAACTTCCTTAAAATATGAAAAAGGAAAAGCAAACACATTAAGATAAGCATTAAAATCCTGAACAATGACATAAGAGCAAGATAAACCATTCCATGATGTCTAGCAAAGATATTAGGTTTTCACCTTGAGACAGTGCCTTGCTTGAAGAAGCAGCTACAGGAAGCTTTTCTGGCTCCTTGTAATCCAGGGGAGGAGCAAAATCTACCTCACAGTCAGTCTCAATGATACTTATTGCATTGGATGGCTTCGTCTCTATGATATCTATGTAATACTTCTTATTGTTATATGCCACCATAATACTGTCCCCAGTGGTTAAACAGGAATAATTCCTCAGGGTTGTCTCTAAGCTGCATTAAAAAGGAAAGTGACATTAAAAATGAGATGTATAAATCACACTTGAATAGCAACACGTAGAGTAAAAAGAAAAAGTCCATAATAGCGACTTTATATGGCTGGAAACAAAAACAGATTCTTGGCACTATGTTTCTCACCAGTGCAGGCCATTTACAGAAACTCATTTGGCTTACATGAAGCTAAATTACACAAAAATGTCAGCATCCATGATTCAAGTATGAATTGATGACAACATATATCTCAATATTGAACTTCCCTTTCTAGCTGAATATCAAACATCAAAGACTCAAGCATACATTTATCAACAAATAATCCACTCACATAGCTTTTGGGTTCGAAATATCCAAAAAGTCCTTTGTGTGGGGTTGCAATTTAACGTAGGTTCCCTTTGGAAGAGTCACATTTTTCACCCTCACAATATCCCCCTCCTGTAGGAGCAAATTCTCCATCATCTACATGAAAACCATTGAAAACAACAGGGCATGAATCAGATAAGTAGAAGGTTTCTTGAATCTCAGTGGACCTACAGCAATGCCACAGGAATACTACTAATGTGTAGCATGTACAAACCAAAAGATGCACCGCCTACCCAATATGGCATATAGATCATGCCTTCTTCTGCAATAAACTCAAGTACTCCGCAATGAGAGACACGCTCAGCAGCATCATTCCGAAGCTCAAATAACATTGGATAATCAATATGCAGAGATGCTGCAAAATTTTAGTCACACGTTAGCATTCTGGTTTATAAGGTCATGACTTAGGAGGAACCAAGACTAATTGCAAAAGTTTAATTTATGCCACAATTAAAACAACTAACCTAAGCGATCAAGGGCTGATGGAGGCATTATAACTGAAGAAACCATGAAAGAATACCTTTTAGGACAGTTGCACGGCAAAAGGAACATATTACAACTACTATAGGTCAGAAAACTTACTTTTATCACCACTTTCAATTTGTGGCTGCAGGGAGACAAGGAAAAATGCATAGAATCAAAATCATGATAAAGGAAATAACTAATCAAGTATTTTTGGTTTGATAAAACCAATAACAGAATAGGAAAATATCACTAAGCATACCAGCAATCTGTAGCAAGACAAGATAAAAAAACCAAAAACAACATTCTACTTTTCGAACCTTTTCAATAAAAGATGCAGGGTAGCATCGATAACTCTGCTCAAACGATGTTCCATGATAACCATATCCATCGAAAAACTGCAAAATAAAGCAAAAGAAGACATTAAAAATAACTAGTACGTACAGTCACCCCAAATATCAAAATTACTGGCGGAGTTAATAATAATTGCAATTACCCAAAAAGCATTCAGCCATTCACTAACAACAGATAACCGAACCAATGAAAAAACGTAATGTGAAACGTACCATTTTGTAATTACTTATAACCGGTCAAACCAGATAACTTATTGTTCAAGTTCCCTACACGAAGAAGATCAAACGGCTCAAATTTTAAAAAAAAAGAACAAATAAATTCACTAAAATTAAGAACATCGTCCAAATATATTCATGTGCACAAAACTTCTACAATTCTTTCTCTTCAGAATCAAAAGAGCAGCAAATAATATCAGGAAAAATACCTTGAAAGGGGAAGCTCGTATAACCTGGGGGAGGGGTGGTGAAATTGAACTAAAATTAAAACTTTTTCCTCCTTAATTAATCCTTTCAATCAGTCAATTTTGTCCGTTACCAAAAGAATATTGGGTTTGATTATGGGATAAGAAGGGTAAGCAAAGGGCCAAATTGAACAGATCTGAGATTAAATTGAAACAGACAAAAAGAGTCGCCGAGAAAAGAAAATGTAAATATACCTGAGACAAAACGGAGAAAAGAGTGAGAGAGGCGTTTCGAGGGTGTGTTGATCGGTGAGGTGAAGAGAAATTGAATTGCTAAAGAGGATGAAAACGTTACGTAATCTGGGGGAACAGAATCTCCTAAGATGCGCTTTAGCTGCGTTCCTTGCACGCGACATCATATTCCGCCACGTATCCGTTTTAAAAACCACCGGGCTTGAAACTTTGGATGGTCCATATTGGGCTTGATTCCTACTTTTGGGCCTAAACAGTACTACAATTTACTAACTAAAGACTTCCATTTGGGGCCAAATTAGTCCAAGAGAATGTTTAGAAGGCCCAAAGGAAACAATTAAGGAGATGAGATCAGACTAATTTTTGGGCCTTTAACTATGAAGATGCCCAATGAATTAAACTGTTAAACCTTAGGGAAATTCATTGTTCATTCCAGAATCACCCAGCAACTTGCACTGATCGAGCTTTTTCTGTCTAAATCAAATTGTTTTTTTATTTAGAAAAAAAATTGAGTATTACTTTTTGAATAAAGCATCATATATCAATTATGGAGTTAATTGTTTGAGTGCACAGTAACTATACCTCAACCTGAGTGCGAGTACCATGATAGGCAAAGGCAAAGGCATCTCCATCCCCTTCCTATTATTGGTCTAGGACACAACTCAAAAACAGATTCAGCATACCACTTAGCAAGAATCAAAGCACTGCGTTAAAGCTCTGATGAAAGAATCTAATATCTTTGTACATTATCTTTAAGTCAAATGCTAGCAGCAATGGCTTCCCGTGATACATCTCCCATCAAATATTCCTACATGCTTCGCGTTTTGACCCTTGGAGGAAGATACGACATTCCGGCAGAAAACATCTCAGCAAATCTATATCCAAGATTATGCTCTTCCCTATGCCTGCTAAAACAGCTACTGACCTTTCAAAAGGAGCAGATTGGTCCATGTCCACAAAAGTGAGGGGTAAAAAATATTACGAGTGCAGTTGGATTCAGTTCACAATTATCATAGGATGCTACTTATAAAAGCTTCATATATTTGGGTTTATGCTTATTCCATGTTACGGCCATTTCCAAGTTAAAGTAATCTCTCCAATAATTCATGCTTATTCCATGTTACGGCCATTTCCAGGTTAATCTCTCCAATAATTCAGGTAGGTAGCAACCTGTTTATCCTAGATTTGACACCTGTTCAAAAAGCTCAAAAATTATTGTACTTAACTATATTTTTCTGTCTAAAATATTCTTTTCTTCTTTCTTTGGAAAAGTATATACTAAGTTCTCATTGAAATTAAAGCTCATATTTTGTAAATATTCAACTCTTTAGATGTCGGATTCTCTCTTCACACACAAAGACAATTTATCTGGTTCTCAAATCACTCATGAAGAATGAATTGGAAGAGCAGTAGTGCAAAACTGAAGAAACTTTTACATGTTAACAAGCAAAGCACAAGAGGCATGGAAAGCATCCCTAGTCAAAACTGTTGCCTATGATGGAAGCAAACAATCCTATTCAAATAAAGCATTTTTAAGGCTTAACCATTCCGTAAAGAAAAATCATAGGATCTTGACTGTTTCTCATTGAAAAATTATTCGTATATTCGATGTGACCAAACACCTCTGCATAAGACGTTCAATTTTCATTTTTCTTTGTTTTTATTGGAATCTCCAATCCTTATCGGATTTCTTTGCATCATCCCAAAGACAACAACCCCGAGATTCCTGAGAATTGTGCTCTCCAACCTTGGGTTAATTTAACTGACCATGTGACTGCTATTTGTACCCATCTCAATCTACTCTTATGAAGCATATTTTATGTCAAGATCCTGAGCTACTTCTCTTTTACAAGGTGATAAGAATTTATATTTTTATTTTAAAGGAATTTGGTTTCACGAAGTTTGTGTGTCTCACAACTCCACAAGCACCGAAACTTCACATCTATTATCCCATTAAGTTAGCTCAACATCCAATCTAAACCACAAATGCCGACCTGAGGCTAACCAGAAGCCCACAAAATTGTGGTCAACAAAATGCAACCAGAAAGGACTTGGACTTGCAGGAGGAACACCTCACATTCGTTGCAAAGGAGGGAGAAAAAGAAACACATCTTCTATTCAACGAATTCAAAATTGAAACAGGGTTACAAGCTTCAAGCAATCGGTCGGGCTCCTGTTGGGGTCAAATGGGCAGTTCAGGCAAGGACAAGATACAAGACACCCAGACCCCACACACCATGATTTCAGAATCTTGGTATCTAACCTTTTCCACAAGGGTCTGACCCCCGTTTACATTTCTTTTTGCACAACACAACAGGAAACCCAGCTGAGCCAGCCGTGTTAAGACCCTAGGACGAGATCAGAGAAAGCAACCAAAATTCCAAAAAGCAGACCATGAATCAGCAACCCCAGGTCAGTTGGAAGAAAATTATGATGGTAACATGCATATAGGCTCAAAAGAATGAAGAATAGAGGAGAGGAGAAACAGCCAGGGAAGTGAGAATAAGAACAAAAATGAAATATTCAAAAAAGCTAAAACTGAGAAAGTCTACTTAAAAGAAACATGAACAAGAGGGAATAAGATCCCGAATTTACAGAAAAGGGTGGATTCGGTTCCCATCCCTCTTTCCCGACAAAATGCAAAAGCCCCTGTCTGATAACATTTTTTGCTCACTAAAAGATGGAAATTAACAATAAAAGTAAAAATTAAAACAACGAGACATTCAGGGACTGACAAACCATGCAACAAGGCAAATTGTACAACGCTGCCTCAGGCGCAGCAATAGGACCACTGCTCGTCCTCACTAGCCCCAGACTCCACAGCAGCATTGTAATCTTCCTCATTGCAATAGTAAAAACCATTGTTATTCATGGCAGTCAACGAACAGGAAGACACCTTCGCAAGGTAAGGCATGTTGTGGAAGGAGCGAGCAAGGCTGTTAGCAAAAGCAGCATTGGCGCCATTATTAGCATGGTCCTGCCCAAAAAATTCTTCGGCACGGTGCTTGAGGGTCTCGAACATGAGCTCGGGCTCGTGCTGCATCACCCGGAGGACATCCCCACATGATGGGCCAGGCATCGCCCGCGTAACCGCGAAGCTATGTGGACCATCACTCTGTAACACCCTAACGACGCTTGGGCCGCCAAACAGGTTGTGGACTCCACCGAGGGCCTCCTCGTAAGCCCCACCCAAGAACATCCCCAAATAGTACCGCCCATTCGCACCACCACTGCTACCACCACCATTACCGTCCAGCTCATGTAAAGGCAGGCTTGTTTCTCCTCCAATGAACTTATCAATCTTCCCATCACTGTCACAAGTTAAATCAGACAAAGTCCCCCTCACTTCAGGCCTCTCATCCAATCGATGAATCGGGACTATAGGAAAAATTTGACCAATACTCCAGAAGTCAGGGATCGAAGTGAAAATCGAAAGATTCACATGGTATGTCCTAACAGGCTCAGATGCACCAATCACGTTGGAAACAAAGTCACATAACCCATCAACAGCGGCAAGTTGTTCAATCCCCAAAGTGCCTTCTTTAAACTGTTCGACACATCTTTGCTTCAACTGATCAGCATAAAGCAAACAGGTCTCATTCTCATGTCTCATTGCTGCATCACGCAAATTCGAATAATCAGCACGAGCATCCTCAGACAGCCCCTCCATAATAAACGGAATGTTAATATGGTTCATTGCTGGGGTAGTAGGAGCAGTAGCAGACAGAGCCTCAAATATCAAAATAGAATGATGAGAAACAATAGCCCTCCCACTTTCACTACAAATAATCGGATGCTTAACAGATTTACGGTCACAAACGAACCGAATTGCATTAACAACGGCTGAAGCATATTCCTGTAGACCATAAGAAACAGAGAGATCCGAATTACCGGATTTGGACCCGTCGTAATCGATTCCAAGGCCGCCTCCAATGTCAATAACCTTCATGCCGGCACCAAGACGGACTAATTCAGAATAGATCTGTGCAGCTTCACCAACCCCATCTTGAAGCAAAGCGGTTGAAGGGGATTTGGGATCCAATATGGAAGTGCAACAATTGCAAACATCAAGCATCCCTGAATCTTGGAGCTTTTTAACAACCCTCAAAACCTGGGTCGTTGTTAACCCGAACTTCCCTTTCTCACCTGAAGTCGACCCGAAATGGCCCGAGTGTTTGGTTCTCAGCTTGGCTCGGACTCCAATCACGGGTCGAACTGAAAGCTTCTTGCTTATATCAATAACCATATTCACCTCCTCTTCTTGTTCAAGAACAATAACAGTGTTTAAAGAGAGTTTCCTTGCTAGCAAAGCAAGGGAAATGTACTCAGCATCTTTGAAACCATTGCAAACCAATAACGCTTCTGGGTCTCCTTTGCAAAGGCAGCTCATGGCAAGAAGAAGTTCGGGTTTTGACCCAGCCTCCAACCGAATCGGAATGGCGCCCCGAATCTGACTATGTCTTCAACAACAAACCTGTCTTGGTTACATTTCACCGGATAAACGCCTTGGTATGAGACTCGTAGCCCTGGGCTTGGATGGCCAATCAAAAGCCGATTGAAGCGACTCGAGCCGATTTTCAGCACATCGGGTAAGCGAACAATGAGGGGAAGCTGCAACCCGAGTCCGCCCACCGATTTCGGATCCGAAACTTTCTTAACGACTTTCAACAAGTCGATTTCTTGGTGGACCAGAGTGTCCGTACCGTAAGGACGGACGGTGATATTGCCGGAGTTGTTGACGGAAAAATAAGGGGCCCCAGCCGTCGATACGGTAGAGAGCTGAGGAGTGAGCGGGGACCAATGGGTTGAGTTTGAGTTAGGGCGGCGCGGGGCAGTGACGGTGGTGGTGGTGGAGAAGAAAAAGGGACCGCCGCGAAGGGAGCTGTCCCGGCAATGAAAGCTGCGTAGCCAGGAGGCGCTACGGCAGCATCTACGCAGCAAGCCAAGCCGGCATCCCTACGATAAATCCGCGACGATCTAAAAGAAGATTTGAAAAAGAAAAAGGGAAAATTATGGTAGATTCGATAGTTTTCAAAAGGTGGGGGCTTTAAAACCCGCCGAGGCCGAGGCCCCGGCTACCCCCTCAAAAGAAGCAGTAGAAGACCCTATTAAAACCGGAGTAACACCCTCTTTTTACCCTAAACTTCGAAATCCCCAGCCGACCCTTCAGAAGAAGATTTTTAACAGATCTAAAATTTAAAATTTCTTTTCTTGTTAATGTAAAGCAGCAAAATTTATGTTGCGAAAAAGAGCTTCACCATGCAGATCTCAAAACACGAAAAAGAAAATTTAAGAAAAAAAGATTCCGGGAAGAGGAAAGTAAATGAGATTGATTGAATGAGGAAGACGAAAGAAACTGATTTTTCTCAGAAAAGGAGGAAAAATCGGAGAACAAATAGGGTTTAGGTGTTATCTTCAAAGAAGACGTTAACGAAGGTGGAAGTGAGCGAGAACTGCATGAACGGAGATGCTCCTTTAATAGGGGGTTTTGCGGGCTAACTTGGGCTGCGGGCTCGGACTCTGGGCACCCGCACAAATATCTTGTCAATTTCTCGTGTACTGTTCAATTTTCATTACACTAAAAAAAATTTTAAAAAAATTCTTTTTTGGGCTAGTTTTAGTTTATTGAGTTTTACATTTATTTCCGGTACTGAGATTCCCTTGGTAACGATTAATCAGCGTCGAGTTGCCGCGTGGCCTCGACAATTGTGGGGTCTCTTCACGAGAAATTGGGAGCTTTTGAGGTTTTTGCGTGAAAATATCGTGTGATGTCTTCAGGGAGGAAAGCTGCAGGAAGTTTCGTGTGATGTGGATTTGCATTAACGGATGCGATTGTAACACGTAGTCACTAGGGTGGTTGCCCCTCTGCTAATTTGGTCGGCAATTGATTGGCTTTCTCCGCCGAAATAAACAAATTTTAATAAAAAAATTAAATAGGTGTTGTTAGATATAAGCACGTGGGCGTCACGTGGAATGGAGTCCTCTAGGACCTCCCATTAGTGGATGGACTGGTTCGTAGTTGGATTGCACCAGTCGTCAAATGTACTTTCCTTTTTTAATTTTGACCTGCCTTTTTTTTCTTCCCCTTGGTCCAATCCTTCGTCTACTTGACAAGGTCGAAATTCCTTAATAAATCGTTATCCTCTGTTTTCGCGAAAAGAAAGTTTGACTTCTTACCTATATTTATATTTTTATCATCAACAAAATAAATTGATGAATAAATTTAAAATCAAGCTTTATCAATTCACGTGTAAACGATTAATCCAATAGATCTTATACTGATAAACAATGTTTTCCAGTCATCTTAATTTAAATGTAGTATAGTTTAGTATTCAACCATTCTTTAAATGGAATGTTAGGTGTAAAAATAATAATTTAGGGTTCATGAACATCAAATTTTAAAATGATAACAATTAAATTGCTTTCTAAATTTATTTAATGCATGCTAAGATATTATTAACCCAAATCATAATCTTTTCTATATTCAAATATTTCCTTATAGAATGAGTGTCCAGCACAATTCAGTCAAATATTCCATATATATTTGCCATTGCTAACAATAGGTTCCTTTAGCCCTTTATTTGGGATTAAATCAAGATTAAATTCGCCAATTACCCTCGAACGCAAAATGTCGACAATATCAAGCGGGGCTCCAAGAAAAGGAATATAACGAAATATTGAAAGAACTCGCGAGAAAATGAAGTGGGGTCAAGCACGGCATTGTGGCATTGAATCGATGATCTGCTGTTAGGACCGTAACCTTATCCCGGGGAGAGAATCTGCAAGTCTTTTTTTTTTTTTCTTTGGGCTCTTAAATTTGTTTCGAAAAACGTTGACACCTCGACACGTACCTGACGGCCGTTTCGTTGACGCGCATCAAACACGTAACTGCTTACATTAAAAATGACAGTCGGGTATCTCTAGAAAAACTAACAAAAAGGCCTCTCAAGATGTGTAACTGAAACAACAGGCTTTAATCAATGAAACAAAGGAAAGCAGAAGGAAAAGAAAGCTGCCCCGCATGCCTTTTCTTTTCTCCCTTCTACGATCTAAAACAAGATTTTCACGTTAAACAGGCTTGATGGTCTCTGGCCTTCTTTATAACTAGGGTTGCACCTGGCCAGGTTTATTTGGTGTATCAATAAAATCTAGATGGGGACCGTCAAAATTTCTTTTCTAAACGATACGACGCCAGGGCTTGCGTATTGGGTTGACGGAAATCGGAAGTTACAAATTTGACCTTTATCATTTTTGGTGGCTGCCCCCAACCCAATACACTTAGCCTGATTCTGATTGATCTTGTTGATCATAATGGGAGGGGGCTCTACATAACATGCCGTCATGCCCCCGGATGGCCCTGCCTCACCCCAACAATATGACTATCTAGTCTAATCCCAAGTCCTGCCTCCTTTCTTTTTTTTATCCCTTCACATCCACTATGTTGGTTAATGGGACATGATAGTGCATCCAAACTTCAAGTGTCGACGTATTGCATCTAAATGTTGGATTTAACGGTTTTATTTATGTTTTTTTATTTAAAAAATTAAATTCAAATTTAATTTTTTTTTATAATAAAATATGTGTAATTATCATTGAATTAAATTTTTATCTGTTTTTTAATTCGAAATTAATAATAGAATAAATAAAGATTAGGCCTTTCGCACCTTAAAAAAAATATAATATCCATCGATTTAAGACAGTGGAGGCAAGAACTGCAATTTATTCTTTTCAAGGGATGATTCACCTCGTGGAGAAAAATCTCAAAGGTGGCATGCCAAGTTAAAGCCCGTGGCAGAGTTGGTGGGAGTCTTGATTAGTATTTAAAAGACCGTTTAAAAAAAAAAAAAAGAAAGGGCGAGTGGGAGAAAAATGGTGATGCAAACGTGAGGACCAAGTAGACCGTGCTCCATGTGCCAAAGACTAGTTGTTGAACATGACATTCAGGTTTTACCCGCAACTCTTTGTAATTGACCATTTGACTTAGGAATATGGATTAGCCAATAGAAATATCAAACATATATACCTTTTCTTTCTTTCTTTTTTTTTGGGCTTTGTCACATGGTATCAAATTAATTGTGTCCTAGCGATGTTGATTTTACATGGGCCAAACTCACTCTAATCATTGGCGACAACTAAGCTTACAGTTAATGGTGGTTCGTTTTTAAAGAATTGTTTTTAATGTGTTTAGTTTTTCCGACATAGATCAAGTGGGTGACTCAAATCTGCCTAACCAATTATCTCACCATTGGGTTCAATTGTCTTTTGGTAATTCCCTTATATTCTGATTTATTTCGTAAAGTTAATGTCATTTGAAGTAGTCCAAATAATAATTTTATGTAAGATCTTTTGCAGATTCCATCCCAATTTGATAGAGGAAGAAAAAGGGGATCTGTGCAGGTGCAACGTTTGCCACGCGAGCCGGGGGTGAAAGGATGGTGTATTTGACGTGGCGTGATCTGATAGGTTGAGAGGAATCCAAGCAACTCTTAAAAGCCCTCCGATGCGGTTATTCGGAGCTGTGATGCAGGGAGGAGTGGGACCAGAAGTTGACAGAGGATCTGCTCTTTAACTTTCGTAATGCCACCGTTCTATGAAAGGTCATGAGGTGGGGGCTTCCTTTCAGATTCTAGGGGTTCACGGCGGATTTCAAATATGTTTAAACCCAGCAAAAAGATAAAAAAGAAATATTAAAGAGACACTGCCAATCCCCATGCTTCCCTCCCCTCGCTTGTCTTTTGGACTGTAACAGACCCGTGATTTTGGAACAGTTGGGAAAAATCTGCCATGCTCTTCATAATTCAATTTCCAATCTTAATGACACCTCTAAATGTGTTACTTGTTGATATTATACAAAAAATCTTATCTCAATGTCCAACATAAGAGATTTTGGATTCGAGCATCCATGATTTGTTGTCGATGTTACCTCAAATGTAATTCTCCAAATATTCTACTTAGTTTGAATTGTTCATTGTGTAAAATAAATTTTTGTATAATTTGATTCCTATTATTTTGATTAAATCAATAATTGAGAGCTTATAAATTGATTGAACCAAACTGCATCTTAAAATTATAGAATTTTAACATTATTTAAAATCCTAACATATAAAATCATCCATAGCCATAGACACATGTAAAAATGAACATTCAGAACATGATTATTAACAAAATCATGTATACACAATTTGGTGGTGGCATCATGGACAATAATGATGTGTTCCAGAGTTTGACCCTTAATCTAATCCTTGTTCATATTTTTTTAAAAAAAGAAACATATTATTAGTATCAATTATATGACACTTGGGTCAAATCTAAGACCTGAATCCTGAAATAAAATCATCAAGCCAGATGAAAAACACAAAAACATATCTTCTTCTTCCTTTGTTGCCTTATTTATTTCAGAAAAATTGTATAAAAATGGGTGCTTGCATTACTCACTAGCAACAAAAAGAAACGAAAAGAGATGGGAGTTGGTGGAGTCCATGCATCACCGATTCTTCAAAATTGGTGTCCTCCAACTCCAAGGTCCAAAATTTATGGATTTTATTAGTGTTGCTGCTTGCCACTATTAGTAATTTCCCTATTTTTTGTGGTCCATGCACCGCACCACCCCTCCTCCCAGGGAAACTATTTATCTATCCATTTATAGTTTTTGATGGAAATTTCCTTTTTTATATAAGTTAAGTATAAATATTGGGCAGGGGGAGGTTGAAGCTACAGTCTATGCGATGGACACGTGTAATCGCAGATACGGCGGCTTTAACGCTATTTATGTTATTATGCCATCGCGATTAATTCACGACTCTAGGGGTCATGAAAAGGGGTTAACTTTTTTAAGAGGGAAAATATGGAAACAAAGTCATGGTTTTGCGGCTCATGATTAACGATTAACTTGACTCGTATTATTTAATTCTTCTCTCTGGTCTTTTTCCCCTTGTCTGAATCCCACCGTTTTGGTTTTTGGCTGTGTGTGTATGCGTGCCCTTAGGGAGAGGGAAACAAAACAGTACTTAGTTTAATTTTTTTTCAATTAATGTTTAATGAATTTTTGTTTAATTAGTTCTTTTTTGAATAATTTATGGTAAAAAAATTAGACTGTTAATAAATGAAAAAAATATTCTTAAAGTAAATAAACTAACTATTTTTAATGGAGATTTTTAATAATTTCTTTTATACAAAATTAATAACTCAATTTTAATGTGAGAACATAAATTATTACAGTATATTAATCTAGAAAAAATTTATAAAATTTCATAAAAAAATTAAAATCACAAATGATATAATAGAATTTTTTCCTAATGAAAATTGTGTTTAATGGGGAGACGGTATTAATTATCAAATAGAAATGAAAATGTACTTACTGACCAAAAGAAAGCACTGAAAATTTACTCCTAAATACGAGTTTACATCTTATGAACTTTGGCTCCGATTTACTACATAACAAAAATGTACCAAGATACTAGCCGTTTCATCATATGGGGAGATTCAATGTAATTACTAATTGTCCAATAAAAAAGTAATATCCCTTTGCTCTCTTTTGATATTTTAATAAAACAAAACAGGTGACATTTGGGTTTAAGTATTCAAATACAAGAAATGCACCATTAAAAAAATTCGAATTTGTTTTCATCTCTTAAATCGATTTGGGGAGTAATTACTTTTTAAGGATTAATAATCAATCAATTATTATCATTAGAGTCCATATGAATTAAATAGTATTTACTTGATTATAAAATCCACGTATTTTGATTGCATCTACATTGGATCCGACAAGGTCCTTTTTTTAAATAAATTTTTATGTGAATATTCTCGTCTTTTTTGGGTCTTGAAAGGCTCTTAATTAAAGAATAAAAAACATATTTTGTGGTACATTCAAGAATCCAATGTTTTTAATATATTTAAACAAAAAATAAAAAATAAAAACTATATATTATTATTATTAATAAACGATAATGCTATAGATCTCTACGCATTAAGTCATCACAACCTCAAACAAGAAAAACCCTTATTCCTATGTTGAATTTTGTTTTCGATAGAAAGAAAAGGTTGATTTATTTTTTCACGTGACACTTTTTAATAATAACATATGCTAGACTGCCTACTGGGCATCAAAGTTTTTTCTAGTCTAAAGGTTAGGTTAGGCCATATATATAATATAAACAACCTGCCCTGTTAAACCTACAATAATCACGCATGCACCAATCATCATTCAAGTTTCCTTAATGGAAATATACAAAGAGAGATAATATTATTATCCCTTTGACTCTCCTTCACTAAAAAAAAAAAAAAATCAACGTCATTTCTATTAAATCTTATTTTTCGTTTCTAAAACTACGACTCTAAACTTTTAAATGAAAAACTTCAAATTTTTAATGCTTTGGTATTTATGCGAAACTCCTCCTTAATATTTTTATTTTTACTTTTTCTAAATCTAATATAATACGAGGTATTTTCATTCCAAAAAAGACATCTCATTTAAGAAAACAGTAGATTTTTAATTAAAAATCACAGTTCATGATAACTTTTACTTTTTCAAATTCAATTAAAATATTTAAATTTTAACGAATTAAAAATCTCTGTGTATAAAAAATAATAATAATAATATAAAGGAGAGGAGACAGCCATATGCCATAACCGTCCTGCCTCGTCTATCAAATACAAAAGAAACCGCTCCACTCCTGCCGCCGGCCCGGCCTCCACTTTTGGTTTAAAAAACAATACGGAATACATGGGAGCGGCTTGGCATCTAAATTGCATGGTGGCAATGTTGAACTCTTTTAGTGCATGTACGTGGCCGATGTGAATTAGCTACAAATGATGAAGGATAGCTTCCGTGATCTTTGGACGTCTCGAGAACTGTACACTATCGACCTTTTTCATTCAGCATCCGGACGATTCGTTGGCCAACGCATCTCCTTTTTCTTATGGGGATACTACTTGGCTAAGCTTCCTTATGATTCAAGGGGCACTTCATCAATTTCCTAGTGGCTTTCTGGCCTTTGGACCACACACCGAGCCAACTTGGTATAATTATAAAGCAACTTTACCATGAATCGCGACCTTCTTGGCCAAAAAAAGGTATAAACCTTAATTTGCAAATGACCTAAGAAACAGCACTTCGAGTTCATGCTGACGATTAAAACAGCATTTATAAAAAGGGAAAGAACTTGTTTCTAGATATATATAGACAAAGTGCCATGGTTTCCAACGTAAGATGCATCGCCAGCAAAACGTTATCCCTTGCTCTTTATAAATGCATTGATGATGACCCAAGGTTACCGAAATTTTGATGTTGATCAAAAGTTTTGCCCCTCTTCACTGAAATTGTGGTTAGTGTTCAATGGAA